CCTCTGTGAGAAGAGGGGTCATGCAGCGGGGTCACCATAAATTTTAGAGGAGCACTCCCCCACCCCTCCTTGCCATAAATTATGAATGGTCCCTTAGAGTACCCAGTTGCGCTGAAGGGGTCGTTTTCGGCACGGGTATGCCATAATTAGAATACAGAAACGTACCCTAGGACGATATCATTCCCATTGTGTCGTATTATTGACCGGAACTGTCATACTGTTGTATTAGATACATTTGATTGTGTTATGTAAGTAATGAGAATACACAGTAACGGATATTTCGCGATGCACATGAATACCAATTGGAATCAGTTGAACAGGAACAACTACATACGGTTTCGCTTTTGGATTGCGGAATATGGACTCGTCCGCCTTTTAGGGTACCGGGTAGGTTTCTGTATTTTGACTTTGTTTAGGGTACATATCTGTATACAGAAAGGTACCTGGGGTACGTATCTGTAGGACCTGTGCCGACGACCCCCTTCAGCCCCAGTTGCTGCTGTTGTTTTGTTTTGAGCCAAATTTGTATGCCATTCCGTTCTGAGTGAGAAACAGCAAAGATTCAGAAAGTGATCTAAAATCTCAACTGAGAATGCAGTAGTTTAAGAGTCCAAGGTATTAATCATAATAGATAAGAATCAAGATTTAATATACTGAATAATATTGAAGGTCGGGACTGAAGGCTTTTTTTATAATGATCATTAATTTGGAGAACGTTATTAATGTTATTATGATACAATGTGTAAACAAAAAACATAATGTCTGTCAAATCAACACATTGACAGGGCTCCAGATAATTTTTCAGCATCGGGAAAAAAATCAAGCTTTACAAAATGTCGAATTTTTTCACAATACGTAATAAAGTCACAATGCGATTGTCTATAGTGACAAAATGCAATCTCTACTGACCGTACTCTTGAAGAACCTGAAGATTTAAACTTGGAAATTGTTTCTTCCACTCTAAACACGTCTGTGCGTGACCATACAGAAAAAATGAGGGTGTTCAAAGAAAATGCTGTGACGTCACAGCTTAGGGAGATAACCATGTCTCTGTTTAGGCATACCACTAGGGATAGCTATGAGTTAGTAAAACTTTAATTTCTTTCATTCTGTATGTATCTTTGGTACCCACTGGAAACTGGAAACCATAATCCAGAGGGAACGTTTATGACATAATTCCTTAATTTCTGGCCAAGGGACACAACTCTGCACAAATCAGCTACTGGTGCGCCCTTATCCTTGACCTAAACAAAAACATTTAGTCGGTTCACGACCATTTTTTATCAAGGACTGTAAAACGAATGGTTGTAGCAGTCTGGATCAAAATGTTATCAACTAGGATAAAAGATCTTTGAGATTTTCCCCAGCAAACGAATGCTACATGTGTTTTATAAAAAAATTTCTTTTTCAATCCCAAATTTGAAAAACTATCTCAATGAATTAGATAACATTAACATTTACCTAACAACTTCGTTTTAATGTTGTTTCCCACATTCTGCAAACCAGGCTAGTTAAGTTAACAGAGAAATATCTAGCATTGAATACACAATGTTATTTAGAATTAGAAAGTAGCATCGTGTATTCATAGCTTTCAGCCGTGGGAGCCATGCTATTTACATTTGTCAGAGGGGTACACAAAGTCTGTGATCAACACTACCAGTTGTCCGACTCCCATTTTTTGTAGAAACAGCTGTGGCTGAGTGGGTTAGATGGCGATTAGGAGCTTGACTCTGAGGATGTGGGTTCAAATCTCGAATGAGACTCAACCTAACAAAGGGACTGTAATCTGTACTTTACCGAGAAAGTGTAATCCCAAACATAACATGTGTTACAATTGTCTCACAACACGGAGAGTTCATAGGGTGCTTTAGAAACTGACTCATAACAATCGTACTTGACAATGTCAGTATACATGGTATGTTTTGATTTGTGGACATTAAAGATATTCAGTGGCATCAAATACTCAACAGAACTGAAAAATCAAAATATACTCTCCTAAACAGAGGACATGCTTTTACCACATTTCATGATTACTTAACCCATATTGGAACTGAACCCAGGTCTTCAGCATAAAGAGCCAACACAATAACCATGAGGCTACCACCCAATGGAAGAGAAAGAGACGTTTTTCTTTTCTATGAAATTTATTCATCATATTGTATACACATTCAGATACACAGTGAATGTCAATTAATTAGCCGATATGTCAACAAAACTCTGTACATAACATATAGACAGTGAGCTAAATGCCAGTGAGTAATCAAACTAGGTATCACGTGGTAGAAACAGCACTACATTGGGGATGTAATGGAAGCAGTCATTTACCGACCATATCGCAATAAATCAGGGACAATGGAGGCAGTCATACCGACCATATCGCAATAAATCAGGGACAATGGAGGCAGTCATACCGACCATGTTTCAATAAATCCAATCTGAATTTATCAGTACAATTTTGCATTTTTCCATGACGAACTGATGACTGAAGCATTTTCTGACTGAATTTTAGAAGCTTCAATTTCTAAATGTGAGTTATACCCTTGTGATATCCCATCAAGAACTGTTTCATGCAAACCAAAGATGGGAATCAAACCATAATGTCAGGCGTGACAGGTAAGCACTGTAACCACTAGGCTACCCATCCACTGCTGAACTGCTGAAATCGATGCATTGTGTAATAGTACCACTACTGTTTCATCCAACACATGGTATTCTTTCAATAGGAAACGGAACCTATCTGCTACAGGGTTATTTCAATGAGTTAAACCACAAGAACTTTTTGTGCTGTTGCCTTCCGCCTGACTCAAAATTACTAAACTTATAAAATTAATTCAGTACACAAGTTTCTTACTCAGGAGATAAAATTCATATTGCTCGCCCAGTTAGGTGTTTAAAATTGTATGAAGTTGATGTAGTGCTATAAAATGCTGCTGGAAGCTGAAACGGGTGTTGATGATAGAAACATGGCATATTTCTGTGTAATGTTTACAGGGGATGTTTATAAACAACACAAACGTCAGTAACATCTAATGCATTTAGTGTGACCAGTTCAAATTATTATTCAACAAGGCTGCAATTAACAGTGGATTAAACTTTTTTATAAACATTTTAACATATATTTTTTTTAATTTTTCACCCACACAAATCATTGGTAGTGAATGTTTAAAATCTAAACTCCACTTATAGCAACAATGTTAAACTTGACAAGGAGGATAACAGAATGAATAATGTTTATGATAAATGCCAAACAATGGTATGTAAACAATCATTGACTGCACACAGCTAGAAACTGTTGACATCATTTGGTAACACTTCTGTCTTGAGGTAAAACTGTTTAAAAGATTTGTTAACCAAACTGACAAATTTACAGCATACACCAATATGGCAAGATGCCAGAAATACTAATTTCATAAAAATAGAATTCCTTCAATTTTTCATAACAGTTTCTCAGCAATAGATAAGTCCTCTATTGACATCTACTGAAAGCTTCTTTTCGGCTAATGGAAAAGATGGCATGAATCTGACTTCATACAGCATGGTGTACATGGAGATCATGTAATACTCAACCTGAAAAATAATGCAACAGTACTATCACAGATATAGCCCATAACAAAGACAGCTTGAGTTTTATTGGACTATACTCTGAAATTCTATTGAATCTGATATTTTAATGTAGGCAGCTGTATGTCCACATGCATATAAATCGATGTCACATGTTTGACCTTTAGATGTCCCTAAAAGCATTCATAAGTTTATACACCACTTGTTGTGAAAAGATGGTGCCATAAACTGAGATCTTTGTAATTTAAATTTAATTTCAACGTTATCTATCATTATTAGATTATCATTAACTGCTGCTACATCTACAAGGTACCAGTGTAGGTCAAAACATTGTCATCAGAGCTCTCGGTGCAACTTCTAGATTTCTTTTTCTAAAAATGCAAGTAAACAGAAGAACCAGTGAAGAAAGTGTTATTTAACACTCCAGCAATCCTACAGCAGGGACATCAGAAATGGGCTTAAAACATTGTACCAAAATGGGGAATCGAACCAGGGACATCTGCAGTGATGCTTTAACAACTGGGCTACCCACTTCAATAAGGCAAAGTGGATTTTAAATAGCATTAAAAACTATCTGTGCCTGCCAATATGTTGTCTGCCTTTTAGATTAGTTCCAGCATCAGTGAAGCAAGCTTAAGCATTAGCTTTAGTTATCTGTAAACATTATGCATAAAGTGAGAAATTATCCTGTGTTCATGTACCGGTAATGCTTGTTGACTCAATGCATGCCAGTAAGCAGCCATAACATTGTTGAGTCCCAAGATGGGATTCCAATCTCAGACCTGCTCCAACTTCAATGTTTTGTCCGCATGACCAAAAACGTTAACCCCATCAGCTAGATGACAAGGTAAGGATGTCGTCTGTGGGATGACTCCATGCCCTGCTACATTAATATCACTAGCATCACCTGTGAAAACTGAAGCTATGAAAACTATCGCAAGATCTAGAAGCATTGCTACAACACTGTAAACACTACAGCAACGCTTTATAAATACAAAAATATATATAGGTATGAATTAGATGAATATAACAAACTTATGTTCACAATTTCATCAAAGTAAATTCTGATCTTTTCACTGATGTCAAATAATACCCTTGTTTCAAAAACAGATGTTAACAATTTTTGGTATTCATATGACAAATTTTAAATGTCCTGAAGGTACACAATCTGAACATTCAGTCAAGATGTACAGACCATAACATGATATGATTTATCATTAAAAGTGATATGGGGTTTCACAACACCATAGGTAAATCTAGGCAACATACAATGTAATTTACAAGTGTAAGATATGCAGTATATCACATTTTAAGCTGGTTGTACAGTATGAACAATGCATCAACTGTTCTCGCGCCAAATCCACGAATCAAGATCGCGAGTGTGCCAAACAAGTTTCTTGACTAATAGAAAACTAAAACAACTCGAAACGTGTCAAACATCTCATTCTAAAACACTCTTTATTCTTGATAGATGATAAATTTCCTGTCGCTGGTGCAGGTACTAATTACAAAAATTATCTGATGGAAACCGCGTGAAGACGAAGCACCAACTTACATAATGCTTCTGCCATCATCAGTACGCTATATGGACGCTCAGTTCCTATTTGTCAGAAAAAGCTACAACAATGGGACATATTTCACGATATTATAACCAAACATGTTAGTGAATACAGGCCAAGAAAAGAACTAAAATTAACATATTTACAGTTTGTAAAATGTTTATTTTGGAATGTTTCAGTATACGCCACTGATAATTACCTCTAAAACTACTTTCCTAAACCTGGTTCACATTTACATGTCTTTTCTTGGCCTTCATATCATCAGTAGTTAGGTATGCAGTCTTTTTCACTGATGATGATTGCAATACAACACAACACAGTATTTACAAATAAAATGCAAATTCATAGATTGCTGGGGGGCACACAAGAATATCATCCAATCTAGTCTTCAAACTCCTTGATCTTCAGATCTTATGACCAATGCTGAACCGCCAAGCGTTTGTCTGACCATGATTATCACACATTTATACCAATCATATACTAATCCAAACTCAGTCATGCCAAAATTAGCATTCTTTCCCAAATCCATACTCCATCACTTCAATACACTCCTGATTGGGCTTCCAAATTATCCCATCCATTTTCGTGAAAGGAACCATGGCTAATTTTTCTTCGCCAAATATGATATTTTCTCAACAACTTATGTTATTGTGAAATTTTGGGTCAGCTACTTTTTGTCATGAGTATCATAATAAATCTTGAATAGTATGTTGAAGTATTAAGTAGTATTGTGACAAGTAAAAGCTCATGTTTACTTATGTTATATATTTTTATACTGGGTTTATACTTTGATACAAGGAACTGTTAAATGTATTTATAATTTTATCATGTACTCTTTGTAAACATTCTCACAAAAAATTCATCGGATTCACAATGTCTAATTAATATATGATTAAAGTATTCTCATTTTTTGGTAGTTTAATGGATTCCTGATCAACTCTGAATGTCCCCAATCTCCATCAGAGGTCACTTGAAAATCATATGTCAAATTTTTCCAAGTTCCATGGACATTGTTTGAAGTGTTCCGCTCGTGGTAATCCGAAGGAAAGGCACAATAATTTGTCCTGTACATCTATTGAACATAGCTCACAGGGTTGTGCATCAATGTTTGTGGTAGGAAAGTGTTCACAATCACAAATGAATAATTCTCAGTGTATGACACCACATAAAGGTCAAGGTCGTGACCCAGAGGTCAGGTCAAACTGAAGGTTAAGGTCACATATTTTGGGGGTTGTGATATGCTGCAGGTCACCGCATGACAAATCTTGATGCAGAGTTCTCTCCCTTCCTCTGCTACCACAGACAACTGCCCTTACTGTACTAGAGTTTTCACATCAAAGGTCGTGAACTTTGAAGGATGGGGATCACAAAATATTCAACGGTGGGAAAGGGCAGAAGTGAGGCTGTCCTATTATGACATTGTGACTACCATGTCGTGTAGTTATGAGCAAAAAGCAATGGTACTGCTGTGGGTCTCACGGTCCTCCACAAGGTGAAGGTCAACTCTATTAATCATAACCTCATCGATGCAGCCAGTGAATCCAGAATAGTACTCTGGAGGAAGTCCCCATGGCAGGTCGGGCTTTCCTCCTGAAACAAAGCAAGGGAGTGTCAGTTTGGTTTGGTGATTTAAAAAAGAACTGTTCAACGTTTAGATGATCTCCAGAAAAAATATAAAGCATATGAAGTTAAATATTGTAATCCTGGTACATAAATAATTTGATCAAGACTGAGATCAGGACTGACCAATCCCCATGGTGATGAAGAACTACCTATCCACTGACTGTGATGAAGACCAACAATGATGTACCTGTCCACAGGTATGATGAAGCCTTAACTATGCACAGACTGTGATGAAGACCTACCTGTCCACAGGTGTGATGAAGCCTTAACTATCCACAGACTGTGATGAAGACCTACCTGTCCACAGGTGTGATGAAGACCTACCAATCCACAGGTATGATGAAGACTGAACTATCCACAGACTATGATGAAGACCTACCTGTCCACAGGTGTGATGAAGACCTACCAATCCACAGGTATGATGAAGACCTACCAATCCACAGGTATGATGAAGACTGAACTATCCACAGACTGTGATGAAGACCTACCTGTCCACAGGTGTGATGAAGACCAACTTGTCCACAGCTGTGATGACCTACCAATCCACAGGTATGATGAAGACTGAACTATCCACAGACTGTGATGAAGACCTACCTGTCCACAGGTGTGATGAACACCAACTTGTCCACAGCTGTGATGACCTACCAATCCACAGGTATGATGAAGACTGAACTATCCACAGACTGTGATGAAGACCTACCTATCCACTGGTATGATATTAACCTTCCTATCCACAGGTGTGATGAAGGCTTAACTATCCACAGGTTTAATGAAGACCTACCTGTCCTCAGGTGTGATGAAGATCTATTTTCCCTTAAACAGTGATGAAAACCTACTTATCCACTGACTTTTATAAAGACATACCTATCCACAGATTGCCATCAGTGTCCAGTTGTGAAGCCCCAGTCCCAGACATGGATGACAACATCGTCTCACTGTCTACCTGTAAACGGCCTTCAGACAGCTCTCTGTAAGCCAATTCAACAGGTCATCATGCAAAAATAGAGCAAAATATTTTATAAATCTTGAGAAGAATGAAACTGCACCTATGTTAATGTTTAGTTAAATATTGTGTATATTTTAAAAATTTCTTTCCATGTTATCTGAAATAAATAATGTTAAGTATAATCCAAAGATACTCAAAAAGGTCCTTGGCTTGATTCATCAATGAACAATGCATTACCTTATGGCCGTAATCATGTGCCACTTGCCATCACTAACAGGCACTGTAGATCGGATCTTGAACAGATTTTTCTCGCTCTGTTTTCCAAGGTTAAAACTGAACTCGACATGTTCATTAACAATGGCCACAGCGAGATAGTCTCCCATCACACTAGTCCCCTTGTTCTGGAAGGCAACCAAACCGTTCCGCTCCTTTGTCCGGAACTTTATTTTGATATTGTTGTTTCTCTGTGCTTGAGATCTGAAACAAGACAGTAATTACAATGGCAATTCACATCAGCAAGATTTTATGTTATAATACAGCGTCAGTTCGGATTGTTCTAGGATGTGAACATTCTGAATCAGAAAATGTCCCAGTGTCTGCCTATCAGGATTCTGGGTAACACAGTGTCTGCCCATCAGGATTCTGGGCAACAAAGTGCATTAGTGTCTACCCATCAGGATTCTGGGCAACAAAGTGCATTAGTGTCTACCCATCAGGATTCTGGGCAACAAAGTGCATTAGTGTCTACCCATCAGGATTCTGGGCAGCAAAGTGCATTAGTGTCTACCCATCAGGATTCTGGGTAACAAAGTGTCCAGTGTCTGCCCATCAGGATTCTGGGTAACAAAGTGTCCCACTGTCTGCCCATCAGGATTCTGGGTAACAAAGTGTCCCAGTGTCTGCCCATCAGGATTCTGGGTAACAAAGTGTCTCAGTGTCTACCAATCAGGATTCTGGGTGACAAAGTGTTCCAGTGTCTGCCCATCAGGATTCTGGGTGACAAAGTGTTCCAGTGTCTGCCAATCAGGATTTTGGGTAACAAAGTGTCCCAGTGTCTGCCCATCAGGATTCTGGGTAACAAAGTGTTCCAGTGTCTGCCCATCCGGATTCTGGCGTGACGAGCGAACGCTTCAACCACCAGGCTACCCCGCCGTCCCTACAGCAATAACCAAAGTGACAATGTTTCGCCTGGAACTTGATGCCACAAGCAGCTGCTTCAGTCAATCGTACACCTTAGAAATCTAGTCCAAAACATGACAGGAGATATGCCAATACCCTCAGTTTCTATTCTGTTACAAACTCTAAATTGACTGGGACAATGAACTCTGACAGGTTGGATAGAACATTCTGCACTATGGGCCCACCAAAACATATTTCACAACTTTTGATAGGGATAATGAGATATGCATTTGGTTATAATACTTGTACACAGCTGTACAATCAAGTCATCTGGCATGGTAAAACAAAGAGTGGAGACTCAAAGACAAGTGTCCTACCATATGATATTCTCTAAGTTCTAACTAAGTATCTAATTCTTCGAAACACACTTACTTTTGTGTTTTCTCATTTTGATACTGCAGGTATGTATTTCCATCAAACTTGACGGGTTGATCCTTGTCAACATGTTCAGCCCCTATAAAACACAGCATTCGTGACAGCACAACAGGTTCATCTCCATAAAACACAACATTTATTACAGAAGAATTATATGTTTATCCCTATCAGACACTGACAATTAAACCAAAACATAAAAAAGGAAGGGCTACATAATTCTTTTTAGACCCTCATCACATCATTTTTCAGAACACCTAGCATGTTTATTGAACAAATAGTTCTGAGGTTAAAGCTTGGCCATTTTGAAAACAGACGATATACATATATTTTTTATGATTATCACACTCCACTCTCATAAACATTGATTAAATCTCACTTCACTCTCCCCAAAAACTGCCCAGCCTCCTTTTGATTCATGAATTAGAGAGTGAGTGAGTGAATATGGTTTTACTCTGCTTTCAGCAATATTCCAGCAATATCACATCAGGGGACACCAGAAATAGTCTTTACACACTCTATACATGTGGGGAATCAAACTCGGGTCTGCAGCTTGATGAGTGGATCTTTTAACCATTAGGGTAACCCTAGGCAACCCCTATTCATGAGTGAGTGAGTTTAGTTTTATGCAGCACTCAGCAATATTCCAGCAATAGGGTGGCGGTCTGTAAATAATCGAGTCTGGACCAGACAATCCAGTGATCAACAGCATGAGCATTGATCTGCGCAATTGGGAACCAATGACATGTGTCAACCAAGCCAGCAAGCCTGACCACCTGATCCCGTTAGTCGCCTCTTACGACAAGCATGGGTTACTGATGGTTCATTCTAACCCGGACCTTCAAGGATAGCTATTCATGAAGTACATCAATGTGAAAAATTTGTTTTTAAATAACCACTATTGATCAACACTTACTCTTTTCACACCTCTCCCCCATGAACTCGAGGGGGGCACCTGCAGTCAGCATCGTTCAGCTTGGGGATACACACCCCACCGTTCATACAAGGGTTCATGTTGCATGGGGCACCAGCATACTCCTCGATGTTCCTCATCTCCTCTGCAGATTCCATCAGGCTGTCAATGGTCTTGCCGTTGATCGTAATCTGAAGGTTAACAAACACATATCAAGGGCAATAACTCTTGCGAGCTGACTTGACACACCCTGAATTGAAAAAGTATCCAGTGTCCAACATTTGTCTACCTGGCTGATTTTGACTGTTGCTTTCAGTTACCTGGCCCAGATTGGATGATTTACAGGCTCATGAAGTAAAGTCTGCCCAGTTGGTTTACACTTTTAGGGATATTCCAACCATATCACATCAAAAGATTCACCCAAACTGGTCTTCACTGTTGAAGTACCCATGTGGAATTTGAACGTGTACGTTTGGCATCTAAACACTTCTAGACAATTACCATCTTTCCCCTGTTAGAGTGTGTGAGTGAGTGTGTATGGTTTTACACCGCTTTTAGCAATATTCCAGCAATATCGCGGCAGGGGACACCAGAAATGGGCTTCACATATTGTACCCACGTGGGGAATCGGACTCGGGTTTTCACAAACATTTACCTCCCTGTTACAACCTCTCCATCACTTACCCTCTGTATTGCACCAGAGAAGTTGGCTGTGATCTCTGCTCCAGCAGGTAGAGAAGACTCCCCCTTGTAACCTCCAATGTAGAGAGGTCGGCCGAGGTTAAGCTCCTTCATAGTGCCCTGAAACATCCAAACCATTCCTTCATCAGATCAAGCCATCAACTTGAATTCATCATTCATGAAACCCACACAGCATATATTTCCACAATGGTATTAGTACCCTGTACAACTGAAAAAGAAAATATTTTGTAACGATATCGTCTGGTACAATTAAAATCTCAAAATATCACCCAAATGTCCAGTTCAAAAAAAAGGGATTATTTGTATTGCATGAATCAGGATCCGGTGGTCAGGCTCGCTGTCTTGGTTGACAGATGTTATTGTATCCCAATTGCGCATATTGATGCTCATGCTGTTGATCACTGGATATTCTGGTCCAGACTCGATTATTTACAGACTGCCGCCATACAGATGGAATATTGCTGAGTGCCGTAAAATTAAATTCACTCACTCACTCTCGGGTTCTTATCATGCCATGATATAACTGGAATACTGATAGCAGCACTGAACATAACTCACTCACTCACTCCCATGTCGAGTTCTCATGATATATGCCATGATATAACTGGAATACCGATAGAAGCACTAGTACTCACTCACTACAATTCATTCACACAACATGCAATCTCTGGTTTGTTGTAGCACTGATGTCTTCAGTAATTTGACTTTTTGTAGATGATTATCAGGTACATCATTATCAGGTCTGGACTAGATCAACTGAACATATGTTGTTGAAGCACCCAGATACACAGCTGATTCAATTGTGCTGTAAACAAAAATCCATACAAGCAGACATCCACATTAAATTTAATGATTATCATGAACAAATATCTTGCCTATCTTCAGAGAAAATGCTACAAAATATGTATGGATTCAATAAATTCAGTACTTACATTAGCCAAAAATCTAAATACTGTTGCAACTTCCTTTAATCTGATTATTATTGCGGAGCGCAATAGTGCAGTTGTAAGGCATCTGCCTATCACGCTGAAGGCCCGGGTTCGATCCCCAGTGGAGGCACCTAGGTTCGGGTCCCGAGGTGGGCACATTTGCGTAGTATCCTTGGACAAGATACTTACATCCACCTTGTCTTAGTTCACCCAGCTGTAAAATGGGTACCCGCGAGGATGTTCTGGCAATGTGAGTGATTAGTTCATTGCGCTTAACAGCATGACTGTATGATCCCCAGGGAGTTGAAAGAGTATTGGAAAGTATGATAGTGTTCCATGACCGTGGATAGTAATGTACGTAGCGCCGTGAGCAGGCAATGTGCCTGGATATGAGCGCCATATAAGCGGATGATGACTATTTATATCATGGAAAGTATGATAGTGTTCCATGACCGTGGATAGTAATGTACGTAGCACAGTGAGCAGGCAATGTGCCTGGATATGACCGCCATATAAGCGGACTATGACTATTTATATCATGGACAGTATGATAGTGTTCCATGACCGTGGATAGTAATGTACGTAGCACAGTGAGCAGGCAATGTGCCTGGATATGACCGCCATATAAGCGGACTATGACTATTTATATCATGGACAGTATGATAGTGTTCCATGACCATGGATAGTAATGTAAGTAGCACAGTGAGCAGGCAATGTGCCTGGATATAAGCGCCATATAAGCGGACTATTACTATTTATATCATGGAAAGTTGACAGCAACAGGACTTCTGTTGACAGTTAGAAGATTTTGCTGTGCGATGACAGCCAAAATTTGATACGGCTTAGAGTCAGTAAGTGAGTGAGCATGGTCTTACGCCATATTTTAGCAATATTCCAGTAATATCACGACAGGGGACACCAGAAGTGGGCTTCACACATTACACCCATGTGTGGAATCGAACCCAGGTCTTTCACGTGAGGAGCAAATGCTTTAACCACTACGCTACCCCATGACTGCTAAGAGGTTGCATATTCATAGAATTGTAAACCCAAAATTATAGCCTTTGACCTGATCAAACATTGCTGAAAAAAAGTTCATGTTTGAGAAAGGAAACTAAAGGATTTATGTTCTTCTCATAAAAAAACAGTTCAAGTTTGTAATCTCCATCTTCTTCCAAGACCTTTTTTCAGGACAGCATTTGTCAGAGACTTATAGAAGCAGACATGTGGTTGCTATGGCTACAATATGCATATTAGTAAGGTCAAAGCTAGCCTGGATATAACCCATGATAAAGCAAGTCACCATCCTAGCAGTAGAAGCAGTATCTATAACAACGAATCACAAACCAGTGTTAGAAATATTTCAATTTCCAAACATCACACAGCAAAACAAACAAGAAATTCATATTTCATTATTCATACCACTCCTTATTTGTCATTTGGAGCAGAAAAATATTGACAACAAGTAAAAGCTGTCTAATACAACCTTAAAAAATCAACATTCATTAAAAATATCAGTGTTTGGAACATAAGTTAAAAAAGGTATAGAAGAACACACTAGAGAAGTGGGGAAAATATATGTCAGATTTTTTATATTTAAGCAAAAAATCATTTTGAGATCAAGAAATGTTTCTATTCATAGAATTTGTCCTTAGTCTTTTTAGTCATTTTATATTTGCAATTGTTCAATGCAACTGAATAAGTACCATGTCATGATTAAGACAGTCTTGGCCGGAAACCATTTGGCATCTAACAGATAAAAAGCTATTGTAAAACTACCATGAACGATGAAACAAATTCATTGTTTGTAAAAGAATAATGTAAGATGTCAAAAAACAATCGCACTAAATTCTTGTAGAAGAAATATAAGACCTAGATCTATGACACACCAAAAAAAGACGGGCTTCAATGCTCTGAATTTTCTGACAACAGACTGGTGAACACCTCCATCAGGACCCTTGATTGACACAAAGCATTAACACAGCAGGGCATGTTATAATGAGAGTTTCATATAGACCTTATGTTGTAATCGTACTGCATACCAATGCTTTATATTAAAGATATGACCCGTGGAGGAAGTATTTGATATGGCTAAAATTCATCTTGATTCAACTTATCTACAAGAGTATTGCTAACTACATGTATAAAGTCAGAGACACAAACAAACAAAAAATACCCGGTAGTCTTCAGTGGATGTTTGAAAATGTTTAAAGCATATTTTGTCTGCTATCTCAAATTTGTGCACACACCACATTTGTGTAACAACCTTTAGTGGGAAATGAGTTTGCAGTAAAATTTAAATGGTGCTTTGGTGGGATGAAAACTGGGTGCAGGGATGATAATCAATTGGGAAAACCTGTATCTCTCCATTATCGACTTAATTACCAATTTCTTGTCTGGATGGTATTAATTATTTAACATATTTCAGACAGGTTATTAATAGTCACAAGTATGAGAGATTATAACAACAGTCCAGAGAAAAAGTACAATGTTCAGAAATCTATAAGGGCTCACTCATGTCAGACTGCAGTAAGACTTAAAGGGAAATAACTCTAATGACACCTTGTGCATGAATAGGGTTACTTCCCTTTCATCACTTCAAATGTTTGGTTCTCAACATGCTCATCTTTGATGGTTTGAGAATGTGATGTTTTTCAAAACTGATTGATAGTTTTCCTATCAGATACAAAGTGAGAGATTCAAGCAATTATTCCGTGCCTTTGTGCACACTTAACTTGTGCAATTCAGTGTGGCAATCAGACTTACAGTTAAACAATATGCAAACAAATCCTAACTAGAAACAGTTTCTTGAATCATAAGGATAAAAATGACTTAATACTTTCACAAATTTATATCATCTCTAGTTGATACAAAAAATGCAGTTTCACAGAAAATAATACTTCCTACTTACACAATATTTTTAATATTCATAAGAAACATCAAAAGTGCAGTGTAAAACAACATTGTTGCTTGAAAGAAAACTGCGAACAACATTCATTAATGCCATGCTTCAGCACAACAATCGTCTGAACCGATTTGCAGAACTCTTCAGACAAGAACACCATGTGAATCATGCATTACACCTTCAGAATGAGGCACCTTATGTGAAATTTTCTAATCTGTCAAAACAATACACTCCGCTCCACCACCACACCCCCACCCCCGCCCCCCTCGATGGCATTCTATATATTTTGTCTCAACACCTTTCCACAATACAAAGCAGTTTTATCCAGCAGTAATGCAGTTATTGCAAAACTTGAAAAAATAGTATCTGATTGTTTCTTATATGATGAAGCCGTAATTTGATCTTTTAAGGACACATTTCCATCAGTGTGCTTTTATCACTATGGCAACCAAAAGCACATGAACCTCTAAACACAGTTGTATCACTTTCAATATCTACCTGACCTAACGAGTTTAAAACAGGTATGTTGATGATCATGTTACTTTTTGTCAAATTGTGAGAAACAAACAACCATACCAGTTTCACATAATATGATACATAAATTTCTCTTACATGATTCTTGTGTCAAAAATAAATGTAGATGTACTGGGATCACTGCATTGGATAATGAGCTATGGCATTTAGACGTCTGAACAACATCAGTGAGTAGAACTTCACAGAAAACAATTAAGATTTTGGGGGTAACAATGTTTCAGGGTACTTGCCCCTTTTTGAATCATTCATTTCATTTATTGATAACAGGACGAGAAGCGACCCTGGTACTCTGTCTGAAATAATACAGAAGTCATTATCCCAAACATTATTCATATAAGATTCTTCCTAAACTCGGAATGTCACAATTACAAGTCTGATTCCAATATTTGACTGTAACATGAAACAAGTTGGAAATGCTTTGGGCTTTTTTCAAAATGAAATATGTATCATTGTATGACATCTTCTCCAGACAAGTGGACACATTCACAATCTGGACATTCTAATCAGTATTTGAGTTGAGTAGTATAACTGTCCCCATTGATCGACTGGTGTGAATATTTTGACAGATTAGATAATTTTCATCCTGGCAGAGAACACACAAGAGATCGGAACTCACCTGGGCTCGTGGAGGTTCCTGAATTAAATGTAGTCGACAAGTTAAACTATAACTGAAACTATGTGATATTGTTGTGAATCTGTGTAAAAGGGATTACAGACAGGGGTGGAATTAGCAGATTACACCTGAAAATGGTCATCAGTTCATAAAGCATATCATTATGATAACCTCTTTATCATTGCAATCCAAAACATAGGAATATTCACTTTAAAGGAATATTTTTCACTGAATAATCAGTTAATGAAATATTTAGACTAAAATAGAAACTGCAATTTGGAATGGAAACCAACATTTATCTGAAATTATACTTTCTTTCTTTTTCTGCAGCAAAATGATTCCAATCAACACAAATGCATAAAGCTAAGAGATATAACAACGTCATGTGGCAGATTCTACTCCTCATAGTTTTATGTAAAACATTTTAGTTTTGATAGGATGGCTTGTATACGGAAATATTTCCCCCAAACATCCTGTTATGTTCAAAAAGAGAGTTGTGGGGTGAGCTGTTTTCAATGGATCTCCAGTTAAGGGAGAGAGAAGCAAACAGTTAGAAGAAAGAGTTAGTATAAAGTAAAATACAAGATGATACTTTTCCATTTGCAATTTCAGATGGTTGAAACCCCCTTTCAACCTGGGCACCATCGTACAAAATAACCTTCGCGCTAAGACTGTCTGTATGTATGTTTTGTACCCAGAATATCTAAAAAATGTACAGGCTGGTTTCATTTCAACACATTGGCTCCTCGTCAGCGGTGAATAATTTTTGTCCAAGAATGGCCTCAGTGGGACGTTTTCATGGAAATAATACACACTGTTCAGCTCCTTGTTCACGACAGTAACCACATGTAAAACTTATTCCGGGGATTATTAAAATCATATTATTGATAAATTTACTCATGTCTGAAAAAACACCAGGTCTTAAAGTAGGAATGCAAGTGCTGCATCATGTTTCTCTACAGTTTTGCTGAAGGATTGTTGACACTCTGGTGTTCCCTCTACCTGAGGTTGTCATATCTCAACTTTACTGTATCCAGCTCAAAACAGGATAAAGAGATTGTCATAATATGTTAAAATACATGCAAGAAATATTCCTTGTTTAATCTACATGATACATACTGGAGCTTTGCCCTTGACAGTAGGACGTTTGTCCAAGGTCATCTGGCCGTTCTCGTTCAGACGCGTGATCACCACGCGATGCCATTTGTTGAGATGGATGTGATTGCTGGTTCTGAAGAAAAGCGGGGACAATCGCATGAATATAGATTAATATACTTAAGTATATTTTACCCAATTTCAAATGCTTTTAATGGTAGAGTCAATAAATCCCAGAAACCATTGTGAGCAAGTTCCTTTATATTTACTTATTTGTAGCTTGACATTCTGCAGTGAGTCCTGCTTTTGTTACATTTTCGTATTTCAGATTACACTTTCCCATCAAACTACAGATTACTTTTTAGGTTGAGTTCCATCATGTATTCAAACCCACACTCTCAGAGCGGCTAGCACACAGAGTCAGGCACCTAATCACCAGCACACAAAGTCAGCCATCAAACCCACTCAGCCGTCACAGCTTCTTTTGCTGATTAATGTTTAAAATTGTAACCTCAATTATAATATATGTTACATTTGACCATTATCTATATGGCATTTGGTATTCACAGTCCTATTTTTCACCAATTGAAGAAATTTAGATTGACAACAGGCTTGAGCTTAGATTACAACATTCTGATACTGTGTCAGTATAGAGCTTCATGGTAACATAGAGTTCCTCTACAGTAGAGTCTGATGACACTTACTCCAGTTTAGCTGGTCGGTCTCCGAGGGAGAATCGGAACTGTAGCTTCCTCTTGACCATATTGAGGGAGATGAAGTCGCCCTTGCCGCCATTGAACTGGGTCGCGAACAGGATGACGCCTGCAACACACACACATGCTGCAGTTATACCACGCCTGGGATATAAACTGTCTTGAAGTCCATCACCAAACAAACCCAAAAATCTGAAGTACTGTATTTTTTTACAATGCAGACAGGTACTTTCCTGTAAAATAATCAGTAAACCAGTGAGCAAAACGTGTGGCCTTACAGACACATGAATTAAGGCCTGACATAAGTCAGGTCTGGACATAGCAACCCAGCAGTTCAGAGAAATAGGACACATAATCGGTTGATACATTACTCTGTCAGTTCTGTCATAAACTCGGGGTGGTGGGGTAGCCTAGTTGTTAAACCATTTGCTTGTCACGCCGAAGACCCGGTTCAATTCCCCAATGGGGTACAATGTGTGAAGCCCATTTCTTGTGTCTCCCACCATGATATTGCTGGAATATTGCTAAAAGTTGCATAAAACTAAACTCACTATTATAAACTAAAATTCTTGTGATATCACAACATAAAACGTATTCACTGAGTGCCTCATCGTATTAGGAACTGTACCATTAGGCTTGAAGGCCTTGAACCAGACTTCTATCGTGAGCTGTTTGCCCACATTGTCCTCAAGGGGGAGCTCCATGTACGCGTCTCCGGCAAACTGTGGTACAAACACACGCTTCAGTGATTCTGGAAAATATAAAAATAAACATTTCTCATAAAACATCACGAACACTGTTTTATTGACTCAAAGAAAACAACATAACTATCTTCACACTAACACTACAGTTTTCAGGTTTGAAATTCATAAAGAGTGTTCACTTCACATGGCAGTATCCCTTTAGGGTTTCCTCAGAAAAGAACCATTAGAGATATGGTTTCACAGTTATTACAATATGCCATGGTTTATCACAACTTGGAGATGTGGTGTGTGCTGTAAGTAACACAGTGAAAAGATTAAACAGATTATATCCCACACAACTGAACCACAGAACTACCATGGTTACAGTAATGCAGTCTCACCTTGACCTTGACCTACCTTTCTCACACCTGGTTCCTGATCTGCCCTCAGTGCACAGACATTCGTAGCCAACATCGTTACCCATTGTTATACATGTTCCTCCATACTGGCATGGCTGGCTGGCGCAGGGGTCCACCAGGATTTCACACAGGAGCCCTGGAACATGGATTGTGTGGTGTGATAATGGCATTCCAACAATGTAACCCATTGACACAAGACAACAGACACGCGGACATGATATCAGTGATGATTTCTTTCCATGGCAATTTTTATTTCAATTTTCAATTTTGATACATATTTTAAACTACATGTGAAGCCCTCCCTACATGTACACTGTTTTCACCTGTGAATCCCTCTCTACACACACACTGTTCTCACCTGTGAATCCCTCCCTACACACACACTGTTCTCACCTGTGAACCCCTCCCTACACAGACACTGTTCTCACCTGTCAATTCCTCTACACAGACACTTTCCCACCTGTAATCACTCCCAACCCACACACTTTCTCACCTGTTATCCCTCTAAACAGTGTCTCACCTGTGAACCCCTCACTACACAGACACCATCCTCACCTGTGAACCCCTCTCTACACAGACACTGTTCTCACCTGTGAACCCCTCTCTACATAGACACTGTTCTCACCTGTGAACCCCTCCCTACACAGACACTGGTAGTTCCTCTGGTCTTGCATGATACAGGCTCCTTCGTTCTGACACGGCATGGACTTGCAGGGGTTGTTGCCACACTCACCTGTACCAAACACACAACAAAACATCAACACTGAGGTGATTAACATCCCCTAAAGTACATGGCACCCTCAATACTTTTAAACTACAGCCTCAGCCACAGGTTTAAAATTTCCTGTTCCTTTTTATTTTATTATAAAAAGTCAGCCATCTCGGTACAGGTTGACAGCATGAAAACACTTCATAGACACTCTCACCAGACAAATACATGAGCTGAAGTTAATCAGCAAAACCAAATATTTTGACCATTCAATCCACATTTTAGGTGGTACTTCCTCCCTGGAGAACACTACTGAAGAGAGCGTGTTAATTAAGTCTGTGTTAATGACAGTGGAGTCTTGTGTCACATGACCACTCATTCTCTCAAGACTGGGTACAGTGGGAGTAGTATCTAATAGTCTGTGTAGTACTGTCCACTAAGGCTGTTACGATTCACTCGCATATTCGGTGAATCGAACTGTAGCCCTTCATGAATTCAATTCGTTATTCGTGGTCACCAGAACCGAATATTAATGAATATTTACGAATTTTTTAAGGTAGTGTGTTTTACTTGAACCATTATGTCCTCTTTCAAAGTGAGATATGCAAGAATGGAATATGTACTAGCCTTGTAGTACTAGTAGCGCACGTTTGGTTAGTTTGCCTGTAGGTCGCACATGGTACTGTTGACTAACTATTACATACCAAATTTGAGTGTCATGAGATCACTGGTTATTGCTGTGACAAATTAACACTATCAACATGGGCGTTCCACTTTGTACATCAATCACTTAACTACAATATTGTATTCATGAATAATTATTCGAATTCGTTACCCACTATTCGTGATACGTATCATATTCGCCAAATAGTGTATTCGTTGCAGCCCTACTGCCCACGAGACAGCTAAACCCACATGACCTCATCTCCTCCTGAGAGATGCTAGAGTGTTGGTGAAAACCATGTGGTCTGCTTAACTTGACCAATATTGGCACCACTGACAACTTGGCCACTGCTCTCCCAAGAAGTTGGTATGTTGAGGGATATTTCAGAAGGATGTTAAGTTTACCAATATCGGCGCCATCAGCAATGTCGGTGTTCCTGTTTGGGTACTCCAAGTTGTAGTTCCTGAGGTTGCCCTCGTTTCCAGCCTTCAGGACGTGTATACAGCCAACCAGGCCAAGACTGACGCCAATACGGTTATACACACTGCAATAGAATACATACTGTAGGAAACATACATGACTTTGACTTGATGCATCTTCTTCCAACCTCGATCTATTGAAAAACAGGTGTTTTCCCCTGGAGTACTTTTCGGCAAGAAGATCTGACAAATGCTCCAATGGCTTCAACAAGCTTACATATATGTTCCCCCATCAAAATTTCCACATCTTTTTGTCTTATCTTTTCCAAAATATCAGTCTTTCTATCATCCTCTCATATCTATCATCCTACATCTTCCCGGTCTTTCCTAGAACTTTAAACAACCTTTCCCATCTGAATCAGTCCCATGTATTCTACAGCTTCCTGGGAACCTGCGTTAATCTTTCTACATGTTCCCCATCTTTGTCCTCTGAAACATTCATGAAGCTCTGATCTCCCTGAACATGTATAATCAAAACGTTCCCCTAAACATGAATGTTCAACATACTCTGGTAAAGCATTTGGCACAAAGCCAATGAAGAGAGGATCTCCCAGGTTGAGGGACGTGTGAGTATGGTCACTGGCGCCGGATACAGGGTCTTCGTTGTCCATAATGAGGATGGCATTCTCTCCTCTCCGTTTGATCACCACGCGATGAGACTTCTTCAATGTCACCATTGTCTTGCTGCGGACAGTTGACTCACCGCCGCCAAGATTGTATCTGGAATGTTTAAGTGAGTGAGTGAGTATGGTTTTACACCCTTTTCAGCAATATTCCAACAATATCACGTAAGGGGACACCATAAATGGGCTTCACACACTGTACCCATGTGGGGAATTGAACCTGGGTCTTCAGGGTGACGAGCAGATGCTTTAACCATTTGGCTACCCTACACCCCCTGAAATGTTCCAGTCAACAATAGTTAATCTGTTGTTATTCTTTTGATATAAAAAACACCTTTGCACTGCAGAAACTACATGGGTAAGATTCTTCATTTGGTAGTCATGCTACTTCATTTCCTTTTGGTTATGGTGTTGGTTCGGAATCACACCAAATGGTTCTCAAATGTAATTGTCACAGGATTAAAGATAGTTGTACACAAACGTGGAATCGGGTGGCTCAAAACTAGAACTATATATGTTGATATTAGAGACCTTCATGTTAAGTATGCTATCAAAAGAAACAAGACATATGCTTTATTAAGGATTGGTGAACTGGAAATTATGAAGAATAATAGGAGGAGAATGGGTATTGATAGGACACTACAGTTTTGTCCATTATGTAATTATATGTAGTTAAAAATATTTCTGATTTTTCAATGTCCATACTTATTCTAATCCGAGTGAGTGAGTATGGTTTTACTCCGCTTTTAGCAATATTCCAGCAATATCACAACGGGGGACACCAGAAATGGGCTTCACACATTGTACCCATGTGGGGAATCGAACCCGGGTCTTCGGCATGACGAGCCAACGCTTTAACCACTAGGCTACCCCACCGCCCCTATTCTAATCCAGGGGATAGTTTGACAGCAATGTTCCAGTCCTCGGATGTCAGTCATCCAAAAAATTAGCAAATTACATTAAAGATGTCATGAATTTCCAATCTTCACTATTGCAAATATGTGCTGTTCCCTTCATGTTCAAAATTGCTTTAATTCATTAAATGTATGCGGGCCTGAAATCTTAATACTGCAATTAAGTTCCTGAAACTTATTATATTTTGATTCACTGTCTTAATGGTGTAATATTTCCTTCTGTTGTACACCACTTTTGGGGGAAATAGATTATGATTACTGCAATGGTGTATATGCATTGCTGTCTGAATCTGAGTGTCCTTCTCACCTGAATTCCACAAATCCATCCTTTATGGCAAGAGAGATGAAGTCTCCGGAACCATTCTTGTTCTGAGAGTTGAAGAGGAGGATGCCATCTTTGTTGAGAGTCTGGAACACCACTTCGATGTTCAAATTCTTGTTGGCCTTGCGGATGCGTGGCACCTTCAGATAGGACTTACCGCTGAATGATGGTACACTGAATGCATTGTCTGAAACAGACAAAGGAAGAACAATCAACTGCTGGGTTTCTTTTCAAAGAGACTTGTCTTACCAAGACAGTAGATAGAAGTAGTTTAGAGAGTAGACATACCTTTACACAGTAAATATAATGCATCATCAAGCATCACCCTTTACGATCCTTAGCCCTTGGATCCCCTTTCCAATCAAACACCCCTTTATGGTCCTTAGCCCTTGTATCCCCTTTACAATCAAACACCCCTTTACGATCCTTAGGGTTAGTATTTTTAAAGGTTAGGGTAGGTTACCTAGAGACTGTATCCTTAGCTCTTGGATTCCCTTCACAATCGAACACCCCTGTACGGTCCTTAGCCCTTGGATCCCCTTTTCGATCAAACACCCTTTTACGGTCCTTAGCCCTTGGACCATCATCACCACCACCACCACCACCATCACCATCACCATCAATGCATTTATGACACCTACCCTCTTTACACAGTGGTCCTGTCTTGCCAAGGGGACACACACAGCGGTAGCCCAGAGAGTCATCAAGTTCGCACTCTCCTCCGTTCTCACATGGAGAGTGCATGCAGGCATTGTCGATATCTTCTGTTTTGATGGGGTCACTTCGAAATACCTCTGAAAAGTCCAAGAATAGGTCCAATTATCAACAGGCACTTCACCTTGAAGGATACATTTGTACGTCTGCCGAATTGTTGTCAGTCGTCTGTTTTAGGATGCTCTGAACAATAGAAAGATTGAAGAAAACCCCTGGTCTCACCTATACACTGTCTGTTGTCGATGGAAGGGACATAACCCTGGAAACAAGTGCACAGACCAAGTCGACAGCGGCTGTTGTTGACGCAGCAGTTGTCGTCTTCAAGACAGAGGTCGTCGATCTTGCCCATCAGGCCTGAAAGAGTCAAGCAGAGAGTGGAATACTTAAAATTGTATACAACAAAAAGCAGGAAAAGACAGAGCATGGCTGTAGCCTTTATGGGGACACAGAAGTTGGCCAAACACATTTCGGAATTGAACCTGGTCATTGGTGTGATTCTAGTTCCACTCCACCACTCAACAGCTAAAACAATAAAGCATTACCGTGAACAAACACCAAATACATTCACTGGGTACTTGAACTACAGACAAATTAGATTGATCCCTCCAAATTATTCTGTTAATGGGTACCTGAGTAAATCATTTTGATCTCTTCTAAATGGACATTAAGTGTGAGTGAGTGAGTTTTGTTTTACGCCACTTTTAGCAGTATCCCAGCAATAGCCAGTGGGCACACCGGAAATGGGCTTCACACATTGTACCCATGTGGGGAATTGAACTCAGGTGTTCAAGTGTGAACTTGAATAATACAGAACAGGATCTTCCTGAACTAATGCCGTGTATGAAATAAGGCCCGTCCGACAGCCAGAGACTGTCTAGATTTCTGACGGACGGTCTAAATTTACAGCTAACCAGCCCGATGGTCTGGTACAAATTGTAGATGTTCCATATATCTGAGCAAATTCACCATATTAGGTCTGGTTAAATCCATTTTGGGCTGGTAACATTTTGAAGTTACCAGCCTTGATGTCTGGCTGGGTTTTTGGCTTATTTCATACACTTTCAACACTAGTTTATTGTATCCATGCAATATTTCGGTACAGGTGTACGTATGTGTGTCAAGCAAGTTGTCTTCACAGATACTACACATTCTAAATGCCACATAAAGAGGCTCCCTACAGGGGCACATTGCTTGACCTACCACAGGCTGTCTTCTCTACTTCAGGAGTGGAAGGCTGGTCAGTTCCGGCCTCTGCTTCATCCACTTCTGGTGGAATTGGTCCTGTGATGTGTCGAGTTGTTTTACGTGATCTGGTTGTAGATGGCATTGGCGTTGTTGTCCTTATAGAAGGGGCCGCTGGAAATAGTTTTTAAGTTTGAATACAAGCTTGCTTTGTGCAGGCTGAAATCATGTAGTTTATTTTCATTAAGTTTATATATTTACCCGAAATGTCTAAACTGGTCATCAGCTTTCCTACTGCTAATGCATACTGCCTCACTGGAGAGAGCTTCTGCCAAGAAAGGTGAAGGTCACTCTCAAGGCCATGTTATACCAAAAAGACATTAAGATATGGTATTTGTTGTTATCCTGCCTGGCGCTTCACATCAAAGAGACAAAACGAGGACCTTTCCAGATTGATTTCAGTATACTGTATTTGACTGGGATGGGCAAATTAAAATATGGCGTGTTCTTGAATTTGCATAACAGAAATGGAACTAGTCTTGACAAGCAGTACAAGCAGCCTATACCTATTACTATGTTAGTGCAACAATTCATATACCATCACCATTTTCATGTAGCTTCTTAATAGTATTGACTAGGTGAGCCTATCATGTTGAGTGCTGAGAACTTATAATGTTTTAAATATAATGTTTTACCTGACTTTCAACAATAGTTAGATACATGAGGCAGATTGTAAATAATCCAGTTTGGGCCACACAAACCAGTGATTGCTAGCAACAGGTGCTTCATGTTGTCTGGGAATGAGAATAAGCAATCAACCCGATACTTTTGTCAGCTCCAGGGGGACCAAGGAACTGGCTCTTCTGCCAGGGATAAATCAAATCTTTTAAGGAATGGATATTCACTCACCTCGGCAGTGGCCGTAGTACTGGATACGAATATCCTGCTGCATCTGACATCCGAACTGACGCAGCCGACATTCCGAGGGGAAGTTGTTGCCATCACTGCCACAGACGCTCTTCCCAACCTCATCGTCGTATCCAGAACAGAAGTGGCTGCAGTCACAGAAGAGTTGACCGTTCTTCTCCTTGCATATGGAGCCAAACTGACAGTTCAGTTCTGCACACGATGTGGGCTGACTGCTCACTGAAATAAAAGATAATCCACAGTGAAAACCCCACTCACTTTTGATGTATTTTCATTGTGTCAGATGTTGGTTGTTGGAAAATTGTATGATTCAGTACATTTTGCAGCACTCTGCCGCAGCCATTACAAAGCAGTCCACACAAAGTATGCTCAGCGATGTGCTTCAATATTTGAGCATTTATGGAGATATAAACATAAAGACCAGGGTCCCAATCCACAAAGAATTTGTAGCGTTACGCCCATCGTAACTGAGAGTGTACTTTACCATAGACTTACGATTGGCATAGTGCTTCGAACATTTTGTGGATAGGGTCATAGATCCTAACCACAGCAGATTTATATGGAAGCAGATTAGTGCCACAATCTAACATTGTTTTAACATCTAATTATACTTAGATCTACAAAGACGGAACAGAAAACTGTGTTTATAATGAACACACTTATGACAAGCTGATGGTATAACAAAATGTTGGGGGTCCCCGCCACTTGTTGAGTATTTATTGGAAAGTCGTATAACGAACTCAGCATAATCTATGCAGATGATGTAAATGTTTATACTGTGGCAGTAATACTCTTCCATATATTTCCATAAAGTGTGCACACTGGCTTTAACACGGATAACTGTGATGTGTAGTAAAGGCATGGAAACACTGTTGTGTATGTAGCGGCCATGACATTTCCGAGTCGCGTGCTCGGATTCGAACCACTGACTTTCCCATCCTTATGGGGACCTATTCACAGCTGGGTGGACTGGGACACATAGTCACAGTACTATGTCCAAGTTTTTACTACACGTTTCTGTACCTGTAACTAGGTGTTTGCACGTATTTTTGTGGCCACCATCTGCAGCTGGTCATTTACAACAGATTTGTGGGTTCTTTTAAGTGCACAGGGTTGTGTACTGTACACTAAGGGTTGTGACAACACTGAAAGAGTCTCAACACAAAATTCACTCTAAGGTTTTTACACCCGGTCACAGGTGGGCTTGATCCCGGCACCTAAAGGTCGCTGGATCACTTACCTGGCACCTGGACACCTCGTCTACCATGCCCCCATGTTGACAATTCTCTAAGGTTCTATGCTATGCATGTTTCTATGCTAAGTGTGTTTGATCTCTACCTTCACAGCCAAGGGGTCCCAGCAACTTCTTGTCCAGACACAGGTTACACTTCATGCCACTGATGTTGGGTCGACACATGCACCGGCCGCTCATCTGGACGCAGTCTTCTCGAACAGCGCCGCGCATGTTGCAGTTGCAGGCTGTGGAGTAAGAACATATACATACTTCACGTGTGTAGATTCTAGGTAAGTGTTTTGAATATCATTCTGTTCTTATTTCAGTCATGTGACAGAAGGGCGGCGACAAACAGTGTTTTTTACATATCCAGGTTGGAATTGAACTCTGTTTTTCAGTGTGAAGAGCTGATTTGGTTGCAATAGCCTACCGACTTGCCTACAAATGGCTTGAATGCATTCTCCCAAGTGAGGTGAGAAAAGCTTTCCCACTGTCTTGTTTTCTGCTGTTTTAGTAAGATTGCAACAAGCCTTTTTATCCAAGATGCAATCAAACCAAGGTCTTCAGTAGGACAAGTTGACACTTTAGCCACATGGCTATCTTATGGTGTGATTTGCAATCTTCCAGCAATATCTCGGCAGAGGTCATGAGGAATTGGCTTCAAATACTGTCATCCAAGTGAAAAAATTGAATTCATGTCTTCATTATGAAGAAATTACACTTTGGCCACATGGCTGACTGACCCTCAGTTCCTTTGTGAAGCCAATTAGAGGTATCCCTGCCATCATATTGCTTGATTATGGCTAAAAGCAATGTCAAACCACACTCACTCACTCACACACTCGAGATGTGGGTAAGTACTGGCCATCAGAAGCCCATGCTTGTCTTAAATAATGGCCTGGGATCAAATGGTCTGACTCACTGAGTTGGTACATGCATTACGGTGCTGTTATTCCAGTGTATATCGATGCTCATGGTGCCAAACAGCTGCACTGTGGTAAGGAATCTCAGTGCTATAAACCAGCATTTGTCTGAACTATCACCAGCAACATACAACAAGAACAAGTGAAATAATCTTTCACTTCATCAATGACATACAAAACAAATGGAAATCTGATGTCAGCATTGCGAATATAGTGCCAATTCCTGCAACAAAAATTATCCATAGTTTCAACAAACACTCACGTATACATCCAACATTTCCTTTCTGTTCTATCAAATGCATCCCCCAGAATCCCGGAAGGCATCGGTCACAGCGCAACCCCCCAACCCCGGGCTTGCAGCTGCACTGGCGAGTCACAGGGTCACAGGTCGTCTTGTACGAGCCCATCTTGTTACAGTGGCAGTACTCTAGGAAACACAGACAAAACCCGTCACAAACACTGGCTGGATTTATTCTGTCACAGTCACATCATAGTTATTACTTTAACCATGAAAGTTTCGAAAAATGAGTAAATAAGTTATTAATTTTATTGAAGAATGTCAATATATCATGGATTTAATAGGGAACATTATTAAAAGTAAATATTTATGAATTTCATAGTTAAAAAAACACTTTCAAGCATTTTGATTTACTGGAATAAAACTCCATGAAATATTCAGTTGTTTGCAAGACAGGCTGGTCACATCTCAGGTGTTTATCAATGTTAAGTTCAATATATTTTTACAAAAGCATAAGATAAGTATATTATATAAGTATAAATAAAATCAACACACACTTGAAACACAGGGACACAATTAAAAAATAAAAGTATGTATCAAAAGAAATGAACATGACATATAGGCAGGCAGCTATTTTATAAACATCATAAACATCATTGGGCAAAAGAGCATGAGCCATTTTTAATATAAGGGAAGTAACTCTGGTAGGTCTCTTGAAAACTGTAGGTCTCACTGTAAATAGAATGTAACAACAAAGATTGTCACAGTTAAGTTCTTCACACATATAGCCCACTCAATGCATATTATTGGATGACATTAAGACCTGGCAGTTAGACACAAATATTGATGATAGACCTGTATGAGAATCACCACTAAAAACATAATTCTATTTCATCATTCATATTTCATTTCAGCAAATCAAATTCATAACCTGTGCCCTGCAACAACACTGTTTTATTTTGAAAATACACACCTTGAAAAGGAATGTGATTTCTTTGTTCGCATGATCATGCAGATTGTACTTGTGAAAATATTTTGATTTTTTTTAACTATTATGATTTCATTAAAGCTATGAACCAGATAGCCACAAATATTTTCAAGGTGTTTACATAAATAATTTAATTTATTCCCACATATTTATAGGATGATTAAGTTGTGAGATATGTTGCTTTGGTTAAAAGTTAAAACCTACCAATGAAACTTAGATTAACATACATTATAATAACTTCTGTTCAGAAATCTGTATTTTATTCTGTCTTACACGTTTTGGCTCGTCTTCTTAGTACAGTGTCTAAATATGATATGATGCAGTTTGTACACAATACCTGCTTCCTATGAGTACATTACCTGGGCAACCACTACCTCCATACCCTGGAGAAGGAGTCAAATTATCTGAACAGCAGCCATATTGGGTGTCCGAACATTGAGATATACCCTTTTCTGAAAAATAATGAGGATCTAATACCAATTACAAATGGACATACTTTTTCTCCATAAATTAACCAATATCTTTCCAATTTAAGTCAGCTGAACTGATTTGGTTTGACGCCATTCATTTTGCTGCAGGAAATCAAAGTTTTGGGAGCAAACAAACCAGTTAGGCTGTATGAGCATCAAACTTTGGCACTAGGGATAAGGTGTTTGACAATATATATTGACCTCAAACAAATTCACCCGTAATGATGAAGCTGTAATTGTGCTAATCCATGCTATACATCTGTAAGAGATCTAAACATCTCCACACTGATTGGTTGATTCGAAAGTTCAAAAGATGCAAGCATCGGTATCGAGAAGTTTGTTTGAGTGTCATTTCAGAAGTTGGGAAGTACAATATAGACAAACTTTATGGACAACAACTCCTTTATTTCATGAGTGCGGGATCACTTGGCAGCAAGAATCGGTATCGAAACATCGCACTCATGAATGATAAAATTTGTTATGCATAAAGTTTGTCCCTACAATGGATCATTTATCAGATTTCAATCGAAACAGGTTTCAAATCAGAGAAAACTGATTATTATCAGAGTTCCATTGCAAACAAAGAAACAAGAAAGATCAAAATGGCTGCCTTACCTTCTCCACAACACTTGGAGAAGGTGAGACTCTGGTGACAATAGCTGCCGGCAGGGCACCTGTCACGCCCACTGCTGCAGTCGTAGTCCACCCCGGTTGCCTCATTCACCAGCGGCATGTTGCCATCACACGGCTCCTCAGGACCAAAATCTGTTGTAAAGAAAATGGTATCAAATACCTCAGTGACTCCTTTTTGACAACTTCATTTCCAGAAATGTTGACTTAAGTTTCTCAAATGTGAAAACGAAATCTTGAAAAGGGAATTTCTTTTGTCTTGAAAATGGCATCAAAAACTTCAGTGATTGCTCTTGTATAATTTGGTTTACAGATGTGTTGACGTAAGTTAAAAAAATGTTGTAAAAATAGATGTTTTGTCCACCGCTGAAACCTTTCACTTATTACAGAGCAGGAAAACACTGTCAGTGAAAAATAGTCATAAAAAGTACTATTCTATCTTTTCTCCATTTCACATGCTAATATAACATTGTTCTTATTATTGGTGAACTTTAAGTTTAGTTCCACCAGTTTCATAAAATCTTGATATTCACTGCTCTCAGTTACAAACCTTTTCATGTTTGTATTATAATAGAATAGTCTGTGAGTAAGTTTCGCCAGAGGGTGAAAAGTTGTAGCTTATGAGTATTACTCATGAGTACAGAAGTAATAAAAAATTGTTATTCTGACCCATAGATCATCGGATCATGGAGTACCTAAGGGACATAACCCCATAAGGCAAATTGCTGCTCAGTCTTTAGCCATGATATGGGCATGAAGATCTTAGCTTTCAGTAATCTCAAAATTCATTTGAATACTACTCTTCATATTTAAAAAGACATTACCAAACACATTATATTTTGAAATAACAAAAATTGAAGAGTCAGATGAAGAGAATCGTTGTATCTATGTGAACTAAACTTCTGAGCACGATTAAAACTCCAAGATATTTGTCCTGAATGACTTCAGTAAAATATGGTTTTACTACATACATCTAGCGGTGCCAGCTGCAAACTCAAGGGACTTTTTGTTTCTGGCGAGTCCTTTGACCATAGATTTTTTAAAACACAAATTTCCTATCATTGCTGGACATAATCATGTTTTTTTAATTTTTTTACTGTACTTACCATCACAGTTGTCACTGTCCTGTATGAGAATTTCTTTCTGTTGTTGACACGACTCATACTTCATCTGACACTGATTAGGGTATGACTTGCCATCAGAACCACACACAGGCGACCTGGATAAGCAAGAGTTCGAAACAGCTATAGTGAGGCCGTCCAGGACCACCATGACAATAGAGGCGAGTGAGTTTGGCTTCACCATGCTTTGAATGGCATGTCAGCTTACATGGAAAGAAAGCCCATAGTGACACAGGTATTAGACAATCCGAATTTTGGTGAAACCCACAAGCCAGAGTAAGGTGCTAATAAACCTAAAATCTAAAACAAGGATTGGCATTTTAAACCGTCATTTGATTGAGACATAAAGGGAAGCAACTAAAACGATTTGGCAACACATGCCCACACAGACCAGTGAATCCTGGTTATGCCAAGGGAAGCAATTGAACTGTGTATTAAAGGTGAACTGAATTGTGTATTTTACATTGCTGCATGAGCTTCAAGGTGGAACACTGACAAGTTCGGGTAAAGATTATCAGGAATTTTTTTGATTGACAAGTGTAAGAGTGAGTAAGTTGAATTTAACGTTCCTGTTCCACTTAGTGAGTTTGATGTGGGAGGAAAGCTTATGAAGCAATGGCAGCTGCTAGATATTTTCAACTTCCACAACCCAAGAGTTGGGATATGGTCAAAGAGGCCATAAATTGTACGTACTGTTCTCTTAAATACACACATGGTGTGGGAGGGAAGCAATGGCAGGTGCCAGATGTTTTCAACTTCCACAACCCAAGAGTTGGGATATGGTCCTGACAAACCTTGCAACATGACAGCCTGGGATTCAAACCCTTCATCACAGCTTCCTAGCGTATCCATGGGATGCCACTCAACATCGTGAAGTGAAAGACTGGGCCAACCATGCCCCAGACAAACAAAAGAGGCCATAAATCGTACATACTGTTCTCTAATGGTGTAACATGTTATTTTATTGCAGGTTAATTAACCATAATTCAGCAAAATCTTTCCAATAAATCAAGACTTATTTTTCCTCCTTTTCTTCAGAGACCGTCGTATTACTTGGTCTCTGTTTTCTTTAACTAGTTTGCTTGTGAAAGAGGCAATTCATCTTGGAGTACATTTCTCATAAATGCAAACAGCATGCCGACTCCTACTTAATTGAAGAGTAATTACCCATAATTCACAGCAAAACTATTCAAATAAAAATAAAAATTCTGCATACGTCTGTTCCTTCGCAAGTTACTGCTAGCCAACATTCAACACTTTAAGTGCAAGGTTAAAAAAATTCTTGGGTAGCAAAGATGATTGGCATTAAATTCCACAGCAAAGATTTGGGTTTGGCTGCAAGACATGATGGGAAGTGCTTCAACCCAGAACTGTCATATTTTGAAAGGTGAAGCCTGCTTCGGTACTGGTGATATGAAATATGACCGAAGAAATTTATCTGTCGACCAACAGAAGCTTGCATCATGTGTCCTGTAACGATTACAACAGATACTGATTTCGAACCTCTCCATCCCAGATAATATAGTATCGATTGCTAGATTCACAAGATTAGGAATGCTTTCAGGATGAAAATGACAGTTTTCTTTTTAAAATAGGTCATATCGAAATCAATTCTTCCTTAATTCATGGCTTCAACATTTTGATTTAGGAAACTGGCATGGGCTATATTTACATCCAAAACTGGTTGTCTGTGGCTTTGATCCCCTGTCTAGGCCCCCAAAAAATGTAAAGAGATAATTTTTGTAGTCAGACCAACTGAAGGTTTAAGAAGAATGAAGGACTGGATGGTTTGGAATCTGTAAGCTGTGTCTGTTATTGTGGTGGAAAGGGAAACTATGTCATCTGTTTCACATTTAAATTCAGAGTGACAATGACTTAAAAATATTGTTTAACAAAGAGGGAAGACTTTCTGAACTTTCAAAATACCTTTATACGAAAAGAGGGATTACTTAAATTACATAAAGTCAACTGTCCCTCATCCAGCAATACTTTGGTGTCTGTGTTCATGACTTTCAAGGCACAAGGGTTTAAACCTTTTAAAGAAGATTAATGTTGATCGCCAGTGAAGAATGTTAAAGCAGCATATATCTTGCAACAGTTTATAGTTTCTAAGTTCACTGAACATAATTTCAAGAACTCAGACTCAGAAATATTTCTAGGTTGTAATGTCTCATAAAGATCTGGGTTGGAATGGGTGGTCAGAATTGCTGACTTGGTTGAATCCCTATGGTATCATTGGGTGGTCAGAATTGCTGCCTTGGTTGAATCCCTGTGGTATCATTGGATGGTCAGAATTGCTGCCTTGGTTGAATCCCTGTGGTATCATTGGATGGTCAGAATCGCTGCTTTGGTTGAATCCCTATGGTATCATTGGGTGGTCAGAATCACTGACTTGGTTGCATCCCTTTGGTATCATTGAGTGGCCAGAGTCACTGCCTTGGTTGAATCCCCATGGTATCATTGGATGGTCAGAATCACTGCCTTGGTTGAATCCCCATGGTATCATTGGATGGTCCCTTTGTTTGAATCCCCATGGTATCATTGGGTGGTCAGAATCACTGACTTGGTTGAATCCCTATGGTATCATTGGATGGTCAGAATCACTGCCCCACATTGCCTTTGGTTGAATCCCCATGGTATCATTGGATGGTCAGAATCGCTGCCTTGTTTGAATCCCCATGGTATCATTGGATGGTCAGAATTGCTGCCTTGGTTGAATCCCTATGGTATCATTGGGTGGTCAGAATCGCTTCCTTGGTTGAATACCCATGGTATCATTGGGTGGTCAGAATCACTGACTTAATTGAAACTCGTCATCACTCCCCAGTTGCATGGATCAATGCTCATGATATCAATCACTGGAGTGTCTGGTTCAGACTCGACTGTTTACAAAACGTGTTGGGGTAATGGGGTAGCCTAGTGGTTAAAGTGATTGCTCTTAATGTCAAGAGCCTGGGTTCAATTCCCCACATGGGTACAGTGTGGGAAGTCAAATTCTGGTGTCCCCCCTCTGTGATATAGCTATAATATTGATAAAAGAGGCATAAAACTATGCCTCTGATAAAGTCATCCCTACTGACCGGTGTCATGTTGCTGGAATATTGCTTGATATGGCATCAAAATACAAAACAGAAAACAAGCTCACAAAGTAAATATCTTACCTTAGTGCCTCACAGTTAAAGTTGCATTCACATGTAAAGAAGCCGTCCCAAGCTGCTGTACAAACGCCACCAAAACGACAAGTTGTCTCGTCACATTTCTCCATGAAGTCACCAGAACCCTCTAAAAATAACTCAGGTGATCATATGATAGGTCATGTGATTATTTGATGTCACATGACCACCTCTGGCATACCTCTGTACATTACCTGATAGCTGTTTCATGAAAGATAAGGTTTCTCAGTCAGGTGTGTGAATCAACACAGAAATTGAAATGAGTCTGAATGATTCATGGCATGAAACTGACATTTGTTTTTTGTTAGTTGCAAATACACAAGCTAAAATACTGGTACAGTTTGTTTCAGATAGTTTCAATTTGTTGTGAACTTAATTTACTCTAAATTGCCTGAAATACTGACAGTTGGTAAAGGTGTGTTCTCACGGTGCGATATGTAGTAACAACTTGTAGCGTACCACTTGTAGTAACAACTTGTAGCATACCACTTATAGTAACAACTTGTAGCATACCACTTGTAGTAACAACTTGTAGTAACAACTTGTAGCATACAACTTGTAGTAACAACTTGTAGTAACAACTTGTAGTAACAACTTGTAGCATATGGCTTGTAGTAACAACAAAGATCGTAATGACTTTGTGATTTGTGTACTTTTTAAGTCACACACAACTCGTATCTCGCGAGATTCTCACGTATGGTCGTATGGATTCATCAAGTCAAGAATATACACTAATATTAATGTCATCTACATATCGCAGTCACTAAAAATAAGAGAAAGCCAAAACCGGGGTGGGACCGCAAGATTCTCACGTATGGTCGTATGGATTCGTCAAGTCAAGAATATACACTAACACTAATGTCATCTACATATCGCAGTCACTAAAACTAAGAGAAAGCCAAAATCGGGGTGGGTCTGCAACTGGATTCTTAGGCAAAATATTCCATAAACATCCCTGGCACAAGTAAAAACCTATAAACTGCCGGTTTCTTCTCTGGGTAAATCTTTTTCAGTCGTGTCTCTGACATGATGTCAACATAAACACAAGGTACGTCACTCTGAGGTAGCCACAGATCTAAGCCATTTGATTGGTCTTGAGCTTGCGACTTGTAGTAGGAATTAGCACAAATCCTATGTCTTATTACTCATCTGCGACTAGTTGTATGCGATTTCAAATCGTTACGATTTGGGTGTTCTCACGTTGCAACTGTGTTGCATGCTACAAGTTGTTACTACAAGTTGCACTGTGAGAATGCACCTTAAGGAGTGTTTTCATCAAAGTTTATTCAAGTTTGATATACCTGAAGCTGATTGCATGTAACAGACAATAAACAGCAAGCCATGAACTGGAATGCCCAACTAAAATTATTATCAAAATGTCAATGGGTTGTTACTAACATCCCATTTAACACAACTGCAATATTCTTATTGTATTGATTCACACAAATGACATTTTAGCTGAGATTGTTGGCTGCCTGCCACAATATGTAAACAAAGGAACATAAAGTTAAGAAACTCAATACACAGATACAGTAAATTCATAAAATACATAAAATTATAAATTAAAATATTTACACACACACAAGAACAACAACAGCATCAGCAAAAAAGTACACTGTACATCTTGAAAATAAGATTTATAAATCACAAGGTTTACATTTACAAACATGGTAGGATTCAGCTGGACTGAAGCTATCTTGAAGGAGGTGCATGACTCATCTGGGAGTCATCAACGACTTGATTGATGCCTGTTATAGAACAAGTCAAGTCAATTCATCCATGTACAATATGACCAAACCTTTCAGCCCTTCTCAAGGACAGCTTTATTGAGGTCAATGGATGAATCTATTTCCACTGAACAGGGGACTTTGGTTTAATGTGTATGTATCAATGCATCGTGTTGACTGGCTAATGAGAGCCATCCACCCCTTCTGTTGGTATGACCTGCATGGTTTATGCAGATGAGTGAGTTCACTTTTTGGTCAATGGATGAATCCATTTCCATGAACAGGGGACAAATTCTACAAGTGTATTTATCAAGGCATCATGTTGACTGGCTGATGTGAGCCCTCCACCCCTTCTGTTGGTATGAACTGCATGGTTTATGTACATAACCAGGTTCATTTATCAGGTTATAATATTTTTCAAGTTTGTTCAGCAGTTATCTGTCTTCAATATGGTTTAATCAGAGTAACTTTGAGAGAATTATATCCCGAAACCAAAAGGGTTGTTGCAGAAAGTTACAATTTTAAAAGGATGGGTAAAAAAGTCGTTGTGTCCTCGGAATTTTCAAGAAAGCTTGATCAGCTGAATCTACCAGAGCAACAGAAACAACAAGAAGAGTACCATCACCAGATCCAGAATGGTCCGGGCACTCCCCTTCATGGTCCACGTCCAGCTCCATGTTCTGGGCACACGCTGCACGCTTCATGTCGCACCGGTTCACGTACGTCTGACCGTTGGTGGCACAGATTGGTTTGTGGGTAGTTTCACAGAGGATCGGGCAAACACAAACACCATTCTCACAATTGGCGCCAAATCTGCAAACTTTGCCAGCACATCTGCCTGAAAAATAAAAGAATCAGTTTAGTTTTACTGTGTTGTGTGGTTGTTGTAAAACACCACACTTAGCAATAGTCCAGCTGTCTAATGTCAGTTTTTAAATAATCCAGTTTGGACCAGATAATTCAGTGACTTACATCAAGAGCATCGTTCCATGCGTTTGGGATATAGAATCACGGGTCCCCAATGTTGATGAACCTGACCATCCAGTCCCCCTCATAACATAGGTTGCTGAAGAAACATATTCTTAAATGGAATCCATAGTGTTTTTACTTGGGTACTATTTGCGAAGCGAGATGTGCAAAGAGAATGTATCCAAGTCAGGCAGGATAGTAGTCAACATTGTCATATATTTGATTATATCGTGGTCACTGGTCACTGTCATGATGAACTGGAACGGTGGGGTGGCCTAGTGGTTAAGGCGTTCGCCCATCATGCCGAAGACCCGGGTTCGATTCCCCACATGGGCACAATGTGTGAAGCCCATTTCTGGTGTTCCCCGCTATGATAATGCTAGAATATTGCTAAAAGTGGCGTACAACCATATTCACTCAATCACTCATGCTGAACAAAACTTGTCAGACATGATTTTCTTATTGTTCACTGAATATAATGAACAATACATCACCGGCTGATATGTTTCTGTATTCGTTATCCAATATTCGTATCCATTACCCAATGACCCCTTCAGCACCAGTGAAACACAAACTTGACCCATCCTGTCCATTATATTTTTCTGCCCATTCATAATACATATTTCCATGATGTCTATTTTGTACAAAACCTACACGGCCTTTTACTTTCAGAAGGTCATGATTTGGTCTGGTAGCACTATGACATCATCAGTCACATGACCAAGGAAGTTGCTAGTAAACAATAAATATCCTGAAATGTAAACACATGCATGACTGGCTATTCTAAAAATATCATCCTATCAGGAATCAGCATACACAGATGCTGATAGAACCTTGCAACTAACTTGAGTTATTCATTTAATATTTAGTTTTCATTTTTTGCTATATTAATGTTAAATCGTGCATATTATGATTAGAAAATGTCTCAATATTAAATTGGACACCAAACAAAGGATATATTAAATTAACATTAGCTATTAAATTACAAATGTGACTAAAATCAAGGTGACTAATTTGTATGCAGTTTGACTAATCAAAAAAGAGATTCATCCCCTTTGGATTCCCTGAAATTTAAAATTGGCTACTTTTGACAAGCACTCGTATCAATTCAAACAGCCAGTCTTGTAGTCTTTAGGAAATATTTTCAAAGTATACGTCCCTGATAAACATGAGGGAGAACCAAAATAGCTCCTTCTGCAGTTAGTACAAACATAGCCCTACAAAGAGATAACTTGGAAATACATCCTACTGGACTTGTAAGAAAACAATGAGTCATTACTTCACAGAGGTATGTGCCCATGGTTAAAGTTTTCATCTTTATTTTTAATCTGTTTGTAGTGCCAAACAAGACTTCTCTTTTTGTAACTGGCTTTACACATTTTTTCACAAAACCATATAGTGTCAAAGGAGAGAACTATATAAAAAGTGTTCTTTTAGATAGCTCTCAAACATATTGGCATTCACATGTAATAGAGAAAAAACCCTGCCTTTAAAGTCTAATCAAAGAGTTACTTCCCTTCACTATCTACTTCCTTTGAATTGTTTTTGGTCCTTGGATTAGATAAAGAGGTACACAGCCCATCTCAGATGACCCCCCCAAGCAAGCTGATTTATGTCATTGTGAACCCGCTTTGCTGGTCCAGCAAGTTTATGATATATATTGATCAAGCTGATAATGATTACCAAAATAGCACAATGGTCGCGTTTAGTATTTGACAAAACAGACCACCTTGTCTAGTGGATAGAGTGTCTATTTGAAGAGCAAAAGTCAGAGGTACACGTTTTTTACCTGCCATGTGCTTGGCAAATAAAGGGATAAAACAGACTGCTTAGGGAAACTGCAAAAGGTATTACAGTCACATGGCAATGGTCTATAAATAATCTAGTCTGGACCACACAATCGAGTGATCAATAGCATGAACATCAATCTACGCAATTGGGATATTATGACATGTGGCAACCAAGTCAGCAAGCTTGACCACCCGATCCTGTTAGCCGCCTCTAACGACAAGCATGGGTTACTGAAGATCAATTCTAACCTGGATCTCCTCAGGTTGGTCTTCTTTCAATAATGAACACTTTGTGAAATGAGGTATGGTCAGTCCACTTACCACATTTTCCACCGGAAGCCTTGGAAATGAACTTGCGATATCGGCATGACGTGACTTTCATGAGACACTCATTCTTGTAGGTGATACCATCGTCTCCACACACTGGATCTGTCACCTGGATATAAGAACAGAAAATAACAGTTATAAGTAGGGATGTAATGATGCATCGAACTATCGATGGATTGCAATTGTTCAGTCACCAAGAAAACCTATTGATGTATCGATAGTATGTGTGACTATCGATAGTTTAGTAATTGACTTCCATTGATAAATGCGCAGCACAAAATACAGGAAGCATCAGATTTGTTCACTTTGATTTAGAGTTATCCACCCTGTTATAGTTTAACTGTTTACTTGATCTGGGTTTCAAGTTTCCTGTCAGTTGCCTCTTACAATAAGCATGGGTTGCTGAAGATCAGTTCTAATCATGATCTTCACAGGTGCTGGAAGCAAACGATTGAAGTGCTAACAATATGGTGTTTCAGGCCAGATTTTTGGAGCTGTCAGTGGCAGCAAGTAGAATTTAGAGTTATTGCCCTTGTTTTCTTGGGTAAATGGCAGGCTGACTGATTGACTGACGTTATAACCAAACATCTGTCCGAAATCATTGAATTCATGCTGTCACTGGATTCAAGAACAGAGACAGGAATGTTTTAAGACAATCAACACTATTCACTGATATGACTCCAAGCATTGTAAACCTAAAACTGCGTCATTGAACAAATATTTTGATCATTCACTGACCTTGTGTGTACACCAGCTGATTTTTGAAAGGAGCTTGGTGTGAACTGATCTATGAGTTTACTTGGAAACCACAAATACTCTTAAGGCTGATGTTAAAGTTAAGGGTCTTTCAACTAATGGAACATGATGCTTTGCATTCGTCAGAGATGATGATGAGTGAGTGAGTTTAGTTTTACGCCGCCTTTAGCAATTTTCCAGCAATATCATGGCGGGGGACATCACAAATGGGCTTCACACATTATACCCATGTGGGGAATGGAACCCAGGTCTTCGGCGTGATGAGCTAAAGCTTTTAACCACTAGGCTACCCCACTGCCCCAGACAGATGATGATGATGATGATGATTATGCATTTCGTTGGTTGGCAGATTTGGTTATTTTGGCCTTGCCAGAAACCTACAATCACGGGCTCATTTCAAGGTTCGCCCAAGATTCGTGTCTGTCCGGGCCATGCCTGCACTTCTGGCTTTTCTCCAACATTAAGCTGACACGCTGTCATGCAACTGGAAAGTGTTCCCAACACACACACTAATCAGACAAAGTATTTCTGCACACCTGGGATCTATCTTTGTTGAAATGTCACATTCTACAGAACACATTTTTCAAACCGGACAAAAAACAGTTCCAGAAAAAATCATTTACCGGTGCTATGATTATTACACACTGTAACCAAATTGTACAGATATAATTCCACACCAGAGAAAGGAGTTCCTCACCAGTGAACATACCCTCAATTTTTTTACACAGTAAGTGTTATACATGATCCCATTTCATAATCCGGAAGCAGAAATACTGGTCCCTGATGGTTTCTGGCATTGACAAAGCACCTTGAGTGCCAATGAAAATTAAATTATTCAAGATTTATTCCTGGCACACAGGTCTCATGGTATGTCTGCCGCTGTGCGATATACAGAAATTAACAAGTCCACCAGCTCATGAAATTGTATTATTCCGGAGTTATGGCTTCTTACCTTGATCAATATATAATGGATGCCTCCACAATCTAGCACATGATATGGTTATTTCATTAAGCAGAATGTGATGAAAATGTTACTCAACTTCATGTGAAAACAATTTTTTTGCGTTTCGAAAAATGATTTTATATGACAATTATTGGAAAGCTTCACTGATAGCCTCTATATTCAGATCTATGTCAAGTTTTGGAAATTTAGATGTATTGTCGTATATTGTTGATATGATAATGTTCATGTTTCTGAGTTTTAATTTTTCCTTTTTTTCGGAGATAATATTAAAAGGGGAGACAACTACAGTTAAAAAACATAATTTCAATTCCATTTTATCTCCCCTGTATACTCTCTGAGTTGTGTTTTGTCAAGCTGAATGATCCCCATATTGTATTCAATAGTTTGTGTGCGGAACTTGTCATGCATTTTGTAGGACAGCCAGCATTTAATCAGTGTCGTCAGTCCAGGAATCACTGTGTGTCGCTGATAAAGTGTCACATTGTTCTTGATGGATAGGCTGCGTGCACCAAACCTGATCTCATGGCAGGCTGATCAATCATTAATTGATCAATAGTATGTAATCAATATGTACCAATGAATAGTGACTCACACACACATGCACACACTCACACATGCATGCACGCACACCCTCCCTGTCTCATACTCACACTTCCTAACACACACTGAATCACTCACTCACACACACGCTTGGTATGGTAGCTCAGTGGTTTAAGTGTTACCTCATCACGCCAAAGACCTGCGTTCAATTCCTCATATGGGTAAGTGTAGAGCCAATTCCAAGCACCCACCACCATGATATTGGTGGAATATAGCTAAAGGTCACAAAACCTTGCTCACTCATTCACTCACTTCTGAGATCACTGGCACACCCACTCACTCACTCGCATGGCCTGTCTGACTGATTTGCACATCCAACAGACTGACTGATGTTGGTGTTACTGGAACACTCACTCACTCACTCACTCACTCACTCACTCACTCACTCACACCAACACCACAGCCATACTTACATCAGTACATTTCTCAATGCAGACGCACTCGGCTCGGTGCCCATCACTGTTACACACTGCATGGAAGTCACATTTCACGTTTTCACAACCATCTGAAAAAACAAACATGAATGATGAACATTACCACATATCGCCTACAGCCAGAACCTAGAGCCAGCAACAAGAACCTGCAACAACCTACAGCAAATAGCAGCGACAAAACCCTTTCCACATCTGTAAGAAATCTCTGCTAAAAGCAGAGTACATTGTACAATTGTGACTATATCATGAGCATATATTTGTATCAGGGTTTTACAGTTGTAGATTGTGTCTGCACCAGACAATCCAATGATAGTCACCAAGCGATATGATGACAGATGCGGGGGAGAATGAAAAATACTGTTTTCTACCACAAACTATGAAAGAAATTTATTTCCTGGATAAGTTACCTTTTCAGAATTTAAACAACATTTTCAAGAGAATGACAACAGTGCTAGACTTACTGCAAGGTCCCTTGTGCTTGATACGGATGTTGACTCGATGCTGACATTTCTCCTGCCTGAGTTTACACTCGTTATTGTAGGTGATTCCGTCCTCGCCGCACACCTGGAACAACACAGGTAAACATGTCAGGTGAGAGAGCCGACTCCATGAGGCAACAATGTCACAAAGGGTTCATACAGACTGTCAGCCATCAGATTTAAGGCCTTTTTCGGGGCTTTTAAAGGCCCAATCAACAATTTTCAGGAACTTTAGGAACACATATAATGCATAAATATTTAACACACACAAGCCTGGTCAAATGTGGAAATGACCATCAGAGGAAAATAACTCTAGGAGCTTTTTGCTTTGCGATTGAGATTAATTAACACCCACTGTCACCGCCAAGTATTTATATTATGTATTAGTTTCCTGTAAAGTCATAACTTGACAGGTTTTGACAAATGTAGGGCCTTTTTAGGGCAAATCACTGGGACTTTTCAAGGATCAAATGAAGTTAGGGCCACTGATATTGATATTTATTACCTACGAGGGCAAAAATATCAGGATTCATATTTTTCACACCATGCCCTAGGACAAACTATCACTTTGTCATGGTGACGTGATGTCATGAATAATGCTATGACGTCACGTTTCTTCCGTGACGTTGCATTCTACATACGGTGACAGCAGGCTGCCAGCCTGTTTGAAAGTAGATTTGGGTTTATTTTCCTCAATTTGACGACTTCGGTAATAAACAGAATAGTATATTCGTGCCCATATCATACAATGTTTACGACACTCGTGCCTAAATATAGGGTATATCCCTCGCTCTCACTCGGTAAATACCAACATTTAGGCGCTCGTGTCGTAAACATAGTATGACATGAGCACTCATATAATATCCTCTATATATCATATATCACATGATAGTTGTTGTGATTACTGATAATGGTTATGAAGCCAGATGGACAATGGGTAGGGGCCGCTTAATCTTTATTGGCCTTGATTAGATGATGGGACACTGTCGTGATGTAATAACCTCTCTGTTGATTGTCTGAGAAGTTGCCTGTCCATAAAAAAAAGTGGTCTTCTTCATCAAACCAGCTTGTATATCCTACTTAAAGAAGGAATGAACGGATATGGTTGACAGACTGAGTGACTCGGTTGATGGGGTGGACCTAATCCCCAAGAGCCCCCAATCTAATCACCTGTTACAACTGGCAGACTTCTTGGGTCCAGGCAAAACACAGACAAGTTACTGATCTCGGATCAAAGCGAAGATCTACCCTCCAAATCAGGAAATAGTGATTGAGTTGGTTTAACTAGAATTTGAATTGTATTTCTTGTGTCAGATTGAGGTGCCAGTCTGATGTGATACAGGTCTTACACAGTTACCCCGAAACCTGACAAACCTATTGACATGATCAGGACACAGATGTAATTTGATCAAAAGTCAATCAACTCTGCTGCACCTTAGATGCCACCAGTGCTGCTTAGGAAATGCAGAGAATTTGGCTTTATTGTCAAAAGTAACATATTTATGTCAATGTTCATTGTTTCTCTGAACACTACACTCACCAATATTCTAATTATGTGACAGCGGCCTGTAAATAATGAGTGAGTGAGTGAGTTTAGTTTTACTCCGCGTTTAGCAATATTCCAGCAATATCAAGGCGGTGAACACCAGAAATGGGCTTCACACATTGTACCCATGTGGAGAATTGAACCCAGGTCTCCTGCGTGACGAGCCAACGCTTTAACCACTAGGCTACCCCACTGCCCTGTAAATTACGAGTCTGGACCAGACAATGCAGTGATTGATATCATAAACATTGATCTTAACAGTTGGTATATGGTGACACATGTGAACCAAGTCTTTGAACCTGGGGTTGCTGGGGTTGCCTAGGGGTTAAAGTGGTTGCTTGTCAAGCCGAAGATCCGGGTTTGATTTTTCCATGTTGGTACAATGCGTGAAGCCCATTTCTGGTGTCCCGCACCATGATATTGGTAGAATATTGCAAGTGGCATAAAACTAAACTCACTCACTCACTCTTTGAACCGATCCCTTTGATCATCTGTAATGACATGAATGTGTTTCGGAAGACTAAATTCTAAGCTGGATCTGAATGGGTAATTATCTTATTGAACAAATTGACAAAAATGATATTTTAGTGAGTATCACATGACTCTGATTTCAACGTTTCTAGTCAGATTATAATAAATTATTGTTTTTAGCTGGTCATAACTTCTCAACTACTTTTTGAAACCCACTTCTATTAAATATTGCCCTGAACCTAAAATAAATGAAAGAAAGCAAGCTTTTATGACAGCAAAAACATATGCAGAGAATAATTCCACCACTTTCATGGTACGAATTAAAACCACAGTTTCAACAGAAATATCCCTCATGAAATATAATGAAATGATATTCAAGAAAACATGCATGTATCAAATGATGCTAGTCATCAAAACATATCAAATATTCAGAGCTACATATAAACCCAAAAATATGTAAATTGCAATTCAGACAGAATACGACAAGAAACACATTAGTTGAAACAATTGGTGCAGGATTTTTGACATAAACATGAAATAAGCAAGAACCATGATGGACAAGACTCTCCACAAAAAGGATTTCTATTGATTTCTAAGTCCATATCTGATGAAACTGACACATAAAATACATCATACATGATTCATATATGACACGGCAGGACCGATGTTCACGCTCCTAGCGTACACGGACACTGATCCGGAGTGCTGGACTGACACCATGAAGACGTTGTTCATGTTTTATGAGGCCATCACACATGGAGTGGTGGTACAAACATTGCATTACTCCTTTACATTCTGGTGATGCTCCAACTGGTACTGTTTTATTCAGTGAAACGCCGTCACAGAAAACGGTATCAGACTGAACTGGTGTCAGGCCAAATTGAGCCAAAGACTCACCGTATTTTGATGTATTCTTCTTTTAGCAATATTATTTAGCAATGCTATGACTGGCAAGGTGTCAGACAGTTGTCAGACAAAGAAAACCCAGATATTCATCACTGAGTTTGAACATATGCTGCTTTTAGCAACACTCCAGCAATATCACAGCATGAAACAATTGAATAGGACTTCACACTTATCAAAAAGCTAAAGTGTCAATATCTTTTTTAAGGAAATGCGATGGCAGATGTCAGACAGATGGAATCCCACTGTGTCAGACAAAACATATAGTCATCACTAAGTTTGGATTTAGGCTTCTTTTAGCAATATTCGAGCAACATCACACAGAAAGTCAGAAAAGTTATACTTTGATAATGAATTTAGTAAGAGAGATTTTATGCTGCATTTTTCAATGTTGGCAAGTGCATAGCATGTCGAAGACATGACAAAAGATTTCTATTTGAAATCACCCAATATACTGAGCCTTCAAAAGTATTATTGTGATATGTACGATTGTATGAGCACTCAACAGTGTCTGATGGCAGATGTGGACAACCTACCGGGTCAAAATCTTCGTTACAGGATGGACACTGGCACGAGGGCTGGCCATGTCTGACCACACACACTGCACCATAGTCACAACGGAATGTCCGGCAGGGAATGTCATGACCTGGAAGGAAAAAGAGATATGGTTACTCAAACTTACAGAACTAATGTCAATAACTTCTTTGAGTGGCATTTTTAGAAGCTGGGAAGTACAATAGATACAGACTTTATGGATAACAACTTCTTCACTTCTTTTGTTTTCTTTAATGCCTCACTCTACAATGCTTCAGAATATAATGTTGTGTTTGGAGCAGATGATCCAGTGATTGATGTCATGAGCATAATTCCACACAATTCAGATATGATGACATGCATCAACCAAGACAGCAAGTCAATCTTGTCAGTTGCCTCTTACGAGCATGGGCTGCTGAGGACCAACTCTAATCGGGATCTTCATGAGGGGAACAGATTTGTGAATAAAGTCAGTCTGAGTGACAATAACAGTCTGATGACTACTCTAATCGGGATCTTCATGAGGGGAATAGATTTGTGAGTAAAGTCAGTCTGAGTGACAATAACAGTCTGAGGACCGACTCTAATCAGGATCTTCATGAGGGGAACAGGTTTGTGAGTAAAGTCAGTCTGAGTGACAATAACAGTCTGAGGACCGACTCTAATCAGGATCTTCATGAGGGGAACAGGTTTGTGAGTAAAGTCAGTCTGAGTGACAATAACAGTCTGAGGACCGACTCTAATCAGGATCTTCATGAGGGGAACAGGTTTGTGAGTAAAGTCAGTCTGAGTGACAATAACAGTCTGAGGACCGACTCTAATCAGGATCTTCATGAGGGGAACAGGTTTGTGAGTAAAGTCAGTCTGAGTGACAATAACAGTCTGAGGACCAACTCTAATCAGGATCTTCATAGGGGAACAGGTTTGTGAGTAAAGTCAGTCTGGTGACAATAACAAAGTCAGATCTTCATGAGGGGAATAGATTTGTGAGTAAAGTCAGTCTGAGTGACAATAACAAGCTCCTTGTCTTCTGAAACATTGTATTGCAATATTATTATGAATTCTGTGCATGTTATACACACATGCTAACAAAATTCATTCAGAAAAAGCTTCATAACCCGTCAACTCTTACCGCAGGGGCCTGTGTGAGCTACCACAACATACACCTTCTGTGAGCACGATTGTCGCCGTAGTTCACACTCGCTGTCATATGTCGTGCTGTCATTGCCACAGACTTGCCGAACAACAGGCTGGCATGGAGGTGGACACACACAGGATGCATGTCCTTGACGATCAACACTGCATTCTTCTTCATCTCCGCAGCGAATCTTGTCACAGGGGTTTGTTACTGTAACGTGATTGGTTAAAAACAAAATAATAATTGAGACGTGACTTTTACCACTTCAAACATACATTGCAATTCTTGACAGAATTTTCTGTTTTTACTAGAAGATTTCTTTGCTGCAAAATTGGAATTTTGATGATTAATCTTGAGTGTGTGTTTATAAGTTTTGGATTCTCATGGGTATAGACCATGCATGATGTTATACAGTTACAGGCTCTATTTTCCATGCAGCAAATACTTTAAGCCAACAATCCAAAAGAACATCTCACTAACTTTCAGAAATCAACAGACATTCAAATGTACAATTCTGCTTCTAGGCATATTATATGACCTATGAACAAACTCTGCATCAGTGTCCCAAAAATGTTTTGATTCATTCAGTTAATAATCTAATACTAATAATCTCTGATTTCATATTTTGCCAAATTAATGGGAAAAAACAAAACTGTGAACATATACTGAGATACAGGTTCAGTGAATTTTTTTTTTTTTTAAATGTGATGAGTTATAAAATGCTGTCATTCCATTCTCTCATCTTCTTAAAAATTTACACAAAATAATTTGTGTTGAACAATTTTGATTATTGATGCAGCGTTTGTATGGTACACTTACAGCATGACAAAGTTTATAATGGAAGTGACAACAAAGTTTTTCTAGAAATGGATGCAGCATTTTTTAGAACAAATATGGTAAGGAATTGTTCATTCTCACTGTGTCAACTAGACCATGCAATAGTGTCCTGGCACATGAACAAATTGGGATTCAGGTTTTCATGCTAAACATTTAAACGGAAAATCAGTTTGAATTACCACGAAAAATAAATTATTTCTTGATGAAATAGAAGCAACACTGGCAAAATCTCAATAAGATCAATATTATATCATAAATGCCAGCTTAATACTGCAAGAAAAGATATAAAAAAGATCTTTCAATTATTACATTTCATATGAACAGTTTCTGTCTGTAGATATTGAAGATGTACATAAAATGATCTTTTTCTCAAATACTTTCTTTACATATTGATGTGATCTTCAAATGATGTATTTCACAATTGTGCATCAAGAGGAAACATCAAGAGGAAACAATTAGTAAACACCAAGACAAACACAGACACATAACAACACAAAGCTTTTCTAAACGATAGAGTTTGAACCATATTCTAATCTAATTTGCTTTGGAGAGCTCAGCATCTAAAATCTTAACTTGCGATCCTTCAACAGTATTTTCTAGTAGATAAGCATGTCTGCACAGAGAGCATAAAATTGGCGTTGCGCTTGGCATTGAGAGGACAAAACTGGTCGGCTCTGAGTCAGTATACAGCTATTTGGTTGTTTTCAATTTTAATTTGCAAAACAAACAATGCAACACGTATTGCTGCCTCCTTCCCACTGTGTCTGAGTGGGTTGTCCATGTTGAACTGCGGTATGGTATCTCAGTGGGTGAGCACTGTGAAACATACATTATTCCAGTGCAGCACCAGCCGCACGCATGCACGCACGCTGATCCAGCTGGGACCTACTTGCATTTCGAAGTTCACGCCGCAACAGCAAACAAGCTTTTTATCACATACTGAGTGGCTTTGTACAGTGACATAATGCTTATGTCCACTAACTGTACTGTCTATATCAGTGCAATAATCTTTGATATGAGTGATGTTAAGGCCCACTTCAACTCACCTTTAATAATTAGTATTATATCATTAAAACACAGCAGAGGAGCTGGTTGTGTAATGGTATAGGCTGCCCATAAGTGCACTGAGTGAGTTTAGTATGATGCCACAATCAGCAATAATCCAGCTATATGGTGGTGGTCTGTATATAATCGAATCTGGACCAGACAATACAGTGATCAACAGCATGAGCATTGATCCACGCAACTGGGATATGATGACTTGTGTCAACCAAGTCAGCAATCCTGGCCATCCGATCCTGTTAGTCGCCTCTTACAACAAGCATGAGTTACTGATGATCAATTCTAATCCAGATCTCTATGGGTCAGCAAGCATGGAAACAGTGACGGCAAACTGTGGATCTTAACGGAATCATTATGGGATGGAGCAGACTTTAGAACCACTCTAGACACCGAAAATTGAAACCTTAAAACAAATATCTCAGACAACTGTTTAATGATGTCAGGTGTATTTAAGATAAACTATTTAAATTCTATCTGAAAAAGAATACATTTTAAGGAGCAAATAAACAATTAAAACAATATTTAAATAATTTTGTACTGCTTTGTTTCTTTATTGATCATGTGGAAATTTGGTAAGGAAACTTCAGAGTACTGATATGTTTAAAACATGTGGAATTAAACAGTACATATAAATTCTCTTTAAGCCCTAATTCATCTTGCTCGGTTTCCAAAGTATTTATTTTCTTAAAGAATGGACTTTAAATGGATGATTTATGGTTTTCTTACAATTGATGAGCTCATGTAACCTAAGACTATACTTTAAAAGTTACTTTAAATTTTCAAAATCTGACAAATTTTAAAGAATTCAGTCTGAACTGTATGTGATTATATGGTGAAATTATTCACACAAAAAAAGAACTCCTTGAAATAAACTATGAATAAAACATGTATCTATAATATCATCTGTCACAATTGTAAAACAGTTTAATTTCAAGCTCAAAATATACCTGCTCAATATTTTTTTAAATATGAATATAAATCTATGTTTTTGCTACCTAGCGTATTAAATGAATATTTCACAGTGAAAACGTAATAGTTTACAGAAGAAATTGAAGCCGAAGATGTATCGATATGTCAGATTTTTATCACTGACACTAGAACTTCTAATCACTTAAAGTGTTCTGCTGCTGCTGGCATTGAAACTGGGATCTGTCTCAATGCAAAAAACACATTATTCTTTAAGTCAGCAAAATCATTAATTTCCTTGAAGTTTGGGCAGTTTGTTTCATTCAGTTAATAGAATTGAGAATTGTCTTTTCCGTACGATGACTACAACTGCTAAGACAAATGAGTCTAATTTACTTAAGAAAACATTTTTCAACCGAAATTGAAAATTCTTGAAATGGTCCATAAATCTTCCATCCCTGGCTTCATAGATAGTGATTTCCAATTTAGACCATTTTTATCAATTCCTGGAAGTGTATGCTTGGTTTCATCAACAGGATGTTGGGAAGCACTCAGACACTACGTTATAACACCCATATTTGGATGTCTTCTATTTCAATTAATTACTTGAATGAACTTTCTGCACACAACTCGATAAAGAAATAAAATCAGCTTTGACATCAGAAACTTTGAACTATGATGTTCTTTAATCAGTTTAGCTACGGATTCCACATTTTTTTACCCAACCAGTGCAAAAAGCAAACAATGAGTGTTTGACTGTGTGGAGGCAAGTCTTGCTTTTGCCATACCATTATACACTTAAGGTTGAATCTTTCAGTTTAATTATTCCATATTTTGTAGACATCTTTGCAACATCAGTCTCAGTTTTAGTCAAAGGGGACTGGGGAGGATATTATTTGTCAGATTTCCCAGAGGAATTTCCAAAGAATTAAAGACATGAAAAGGGACAAAAGACACAAGATTTCCTGGGAGATGGATTAACAATTGACAAAACACAATATCAAGGACTTTCTTTCTTTTTTTTCAAGCAAAATGTCCTTACTGTTCTACACCATTCTATATAAATCATTATTTTTGTATAAGCTCTGTCACATTGGCCTTGCCATGTGGGAATATCAGAATATCTGTCACTCGAAATGAAATATAGAAAGGTAGAGGAAGCCACAATATTGATACAACTGGACAATGTTCACCACACAACATCATACGGTCTAACACCCATTGGGAGATGGGAATCACGACAGTGATAGCAGCCTTGGTTTCAGGTTTCCCTCTCTTTCAACTTTTGAAACTCTATTGCAGTATGATTGGCTAATATTTTAACTGATCATGTCTTGCAGCAAGCTGATTGGATAATATTTTAACGAATCAAATCCTGCAGCAAGCTGATTGGATAATATTTTAACTGATCATATCTTGCAGCAAGCTGATTGGCTACAATGTAAGAAGCATTAACCAATCATAGCTACAATGATTTGGCAACTGAAAGAAGTGAGTTGATTTGTTGTGACACTTTGTTTCCAACAATCACAGCTGCACTGAAAGCTGATTGGTTCTCATTGTAATGGTTTTGACCAATGACAGCTCCACTGCAAGCTGATTGGCTATTACAAACTATGAAGAAAAAAAACTGTCATGTTAGAGCCTGGAAAAAGAATAAAAATGTAGATTCTGAAATTTGAAATTGATTTAGGAAACCATGGCTTAAAAAAGCTGAAATGTTAGACTGCCACAATAGCAATGCTTGTGCTAAGTGTTAATGTCGTGTCATAGGTTTCACTTGTGAGAAATTAAAATTCATCTGCTATGACATCAACAAAGCCTCAAAAAGTACTTCATTCAATTACAAAAATATTTATCATTTATGATTCAATTTTCAATATTTTCATATTGATAAAAAAAAATTCTGCTTCCTACATAATTTAGGATGTTATAGAATGAAAAGGACAAAAAGCACAATCACAACAACTAAAGTTGAAAATATGTAAATTATGAATTTATGAAAAAATAGTTGATGCCAGAGCAACATTTTCTCAACTGCAAGGAACATCGTCAGGTGAATAGTGTGTGATTAAAAATATGGGTAATCTAGAAATAGAAAGTGGGCGTGTCAAAATTACCGTCTTTCTTATAGTCATCCTGTACCGGCCCAGGACTGATAATGTTTATTCCTGGTGACATACATATAACATATGTACAGTCATGTAATAACAGCTTATATTCTGTAGACAACAGTCAGCATTAATCATTAAAGATCCATCTGACATTTTCATGTATAAAAATGCAAATGAGAAGGAATTTGTTTTGTCCTGATATTTTTCAGTGCTGTATGAGTTAAGACACTGGATGGGTTCCAGCCATATTGTTTGTTGTAAACTGCTCTCAATGTTTGTTTTTGGTATCTTTATAAAATCATATCTCGTTTTCATTTAAATGACTGGTGTGTGAGAGCATCTTGTGATATCATAATTGAAATAAACAACATAGCTGGAATCCATCAATTTTCTTTGAAATCTGTAACCTATATTTGCCATCCAATGATCAAATGGTATCTTATCACATCAGTTGTACTTTGTAATCTCCTGTTTACATAAACTCTAACGAGGACACTACAAGCTACAACAAGCTATTTATTAAACATCATACTGGACCCCTTAAATTTGTGTTTGTTGAGTATTTGGGAATACTGAAACTGTGAGCTCAACTTGAATACTTCAAGTTCCACTGTCATAAAAATTGACAGTAAATATTTGAATTTGAATTTTCCAGACAATATGTAAATGGCAACGTTTTGTTTGTTTTCATCATCGATTTTTTAAAATATAAATACCATAATAGTATATATGCAGAGGTATATGGTTTCAAGGTAAAACATCTGATTTTAATGAGCTTGAACAGTGTCAATGTAAAATAAGAAGATTTAAGTGCTTCAAAAGAAATGAAATAAATCATCGAAATAATTCCAAATTTTGGTAGCAGTCGGAAAAAGGAAATGGCAACAAAAACTCATTTCTTCCAGAATTTAAAATAAAACTAGAATAAATATAACTTAAAATATGTACACAAAAAATGTTCACAAAAATTAAAATATCATTCAAAAAATTAATCAGAATAAAAAACTTGATGCCCAAAATGCCAAGTCTCTCAGAAATCCCACCAGATTCATAGTATCAGATCAGTAATCTGAATAATTATGAATTAAAGCCAAGCCAGAATTCATATGTGTACATAAGATTTAATTTGGAGATATGTTAAATGAAACTTTTAAAGACATTTATCTTTGACAAATGTCTTGCTCAGCCCCAAAGCCATCAAATGTCAAAAATAATTCAATAAGTTTTTCTTCTCATGATATATAATTCTTCAAACTTTTCACTCGTCATTTGATTATTATAAAATTTGGTTAAAATAGCAAAAGTTAAATTGGAAACATGCAGACCATTGTCTGGCTGCTTAATGGTTTTCTCCGTATTTATCTTTCTTTTGCTTCCTGGGATCGCTCTGGCAATGAAAACCCAGGAACAAAATTTGAACAAAATTTGAACAAAATTATAATGAAATGTGTGGTTGTGCATTCCATACTATACATTACCAACCTGGAGTGCATTCGCCTGGATATAACACGTCAATGTTTTTACGAGCTTTGCATGCTTCTCTGCGCAGTAAGCATTCATTGCTGTATGTACGTCCGTTTGTGGCACAGACTGGCTGAAAGATGTCAGCGCATTGAATATTGCAGCGACAGACTGGCTTGCGCTGTTTGTCGAGATGGCACACCTCGGGCTTCTCACAATGAAAGCCTTCGCAAGGGTCTGAAAACAGAAGTAGCTTGTTTATTGGGTGTATTTATGCATTTTGGTTGCGATGACACAAATCAGGATATTCATAATAAAAGCCTTTGCACTGGTCTGGAAACAGAGGTAGCGAGTTAGATGCTAGATGCATGAATGTATTTGTGTTGAGATGGCACAAATCAGGCTCTCTGCTGGTCTGAAATCAGAGGTAGCAAGTTAGATGTTAGATGCATGAATGTATTTGTGTTGAGATGGCACAAATCAGGCTCTCTGCTGGTCTGGAAACAGAGGGGTAGCAAGTTAGATGCTAGATGCATGACTGTATTTGTGTTGAGATGGCACAAATCAGGCTCTCTGCTGGTCTGAAATCAGAGGTAGCAAGTTAGATGCTAGATGCATGACTGTATTTGTGTTGACATGGCACAAATCAGGAACTTCACATTAAATGCCTCTACAGTGGTCTGAGAACAGAGATAACCTGTTTATTAGATGCCATAAAGTTATGGCAGTAAAGGTTTTGAAATGTACAATCAATGGCATGTAAATATTTTTGGCATGTAGAACTTGTTGCATGTTGTGGTTTAGGTTTGTAGGTTTTAGTAAAAGGCATAGCTTGCAGAAGTCTTAGCACATAAAAGTTTAAAGCATGTGGAAGCTTTTTTTGTTTTGGAGTTCTGGCACATAGAAGTTTGACATGGGCAGGATTTTGGACTGTAGTTCTGGCAGATAAAGATTTTGGCAGGAAGAGGTGACATCATTTTACAGAAAACACTTGTTCTTCTTTTAAGTCATCACTATAGCAAAAAAAAGTCATATTTATTTTTGAATAATCCATATTTGTCAGGGAAACCACTGCAGCCCTCCACACACAAGTTTGTTTGGAAATGTTTTCCGCCTGCTGGTACACATATTCCATGGATTCAGATTTACACCAAGAAAATGTGTAGGTACAACCTTTTCTGGACTAAGAAAATAATTCTTTTCTCATTTGCAGTATTTTTGGGCAGTCTGAACAAACGGTGTCAGAAATCTGTTTAAACCAAATCCATCAGAACAAGAAAGAATCGGCATTACATCCGCTGTTTTCTTGCCGTTGCCTTTACTGATATTTTTCTACCATTATTTAGGAAACTTCTATTGATAATCGATTCATCTTTGTAGCATTCTGATTTTTCTTCGATTTTTACAGGACAGCAAAATCAAAGTGGTATTGAAACCAGATGCAAAGAAACACAAGAACTAAAACTGTTTGAAACGATTTTTTCTTACACAGTTACAATGACGTAGATCAATAAGTTTTTAATTATCTTTATGTCTGATCCACATTTTGATTGATCTATTGGGAATTGTTGCGATATAAGTTCAAAATCAATGCTTAGAAAAGCTATTCTTTGTTTTACAAATAGAAAAAGGATTTCTTTAAGAGAGAGATTCCGAAAGAAAGCAACACGACAGATTCATCAAGAAATTCATCCCTTTCTTCCTGTACTGACAATCGCCTGACAATCCTTACCACTGGATAGAAAGAGAATGATTTATGGCGGTAATTTTTTATCAATATAAAATATATTTTAAAAGCCATCTGTATCAATTCAGAAAAATAAATTCAAAGAAAATGGATTCAAAATAGGCCTATATGTCCATTAAGGATTTCTTGTACTGAAATATATAACCAATGCCATTAACTTTCAAACACAAACACAATATCACTGTAGTGATAGGCCACAGGTTAACATGGATACCCCACTCAGACATTATATCCCGAGTCTGAGTAGACAAGCCCTTGTTTTATCCTTTTGATGTAGTGGACAACCATCTCTTGGTGTGATGAGAGCGGGGATTAAGTCCTAATGCCCTGTCCACTATATACCATTGATTCCCAACAGAGCATACAGGATAAGACGTCAAATGAAGGATCCAACACATCATGAACTCAGTTTACTGACGATCCACCCATTGTCACAATCACTATATTTGAACTCACCTGTCCGGTTTGAAAACCACTCCCAAGGCCAAAAAGCAAACTAACACAAATCAATTTAAAGTTTATTTTATGTAAAATGAGTTGGTTGGTTGGTTTGTTGTTTAACGCCGCACTCAGCAACATTCCAGCTATATGGCAACTGTCTGTTATTAATTGAGTCTGGATCAGACAATCCAGTGATAACAGCATGAGCAGATGAAGCCCTAAATGCACACCTTGAATGCCCCTGTATTGATGGATGCATGCATGCACACTGTGTATGCCCCCATATTGATGGATGCATATATGCACAACTTGAAGGGCCTTGTATTGATGGATGCATACATGGACACTGTGTATGCCCCTGTATTGATGGATGCATACATGCACAACTTGAAGGGCCTTGTATTGATGGATGCATACATGCACACTGTGTATGCCCCCGTATTGATGGATGCATGCATGCACACCTTGAATGACCCTGTATTGATGGATGCATGCATGCACACCTTGAATGACCCTGTATTGATGGATGCAGGCATGCATACCTTGAATGACCCTGTATTGATGGATGCATACATGCACACTGTGTATGCCCCTGTATTGATGGATGCATACCTGCACACCTTGTATGCCCCTGTATTGATGGATGCATATATGCACACTGTGTATGCCCCTGTATTGATGGATGCATACCTGCACACCTTGTATGCCCCTGTATTGATGGATGCATACCTGCACACCTTGTATTCCCCTGTATTGATGGATGCTTACCTGCACACCTTGTATTCCCCTGTATTGATGGATGCTTACCTGCACACCTTGTATGCCCCTGTATTGATGGATGCATACCTGCACACTGTGTATGCCCCTGTATTGATGGATGCATGCATGCACACTGTGTATGCCCCTGTATTGATGGATGCATATATGCACACCTTGAATGCCCCTGTATTGATGGATGCATACATGTACACCTTGAATGACCCTGTATTGATGGATGCACAATTTGACTGTGTCTGTAATGATGGATGGTTAGATACACACTTAAAATGTCTCTTTTATTGTTGGATGCAAGATGGATGTCTGCTGCAACATTAATGTACAGGAACTAATGTTGGTTATATTTCAATATTGCTGTAATCTAGACTTTATGTCTTGCAAGTTTATGACCTTGTGTCCATCAACATGGCTGTTAACACCAATTTAAGTGTCTGTTTGATATGCATTTCAAGTCATTTGATGTGTATGATTCTATTAGCATTATATTCAGAAATGGCTGCCTGCTACCAGTTGCAGGAACTGGTAAACATCAGTTCAATGAAATGGCGCCAATTTTCTGACAATACCAAAATGTTCTCCACTACATCATGGCACTATGCATTGAGTCAGTAGAGTACCAACAATGAGGTTGTGGAATATGTGTTCCCTGGGCACAGAGTCAGTGTTTCTTTGATGGTGCTGTGTCATTCTGTATATTCCCACTGCTTTTGAGTGTCAGTATTTCTAAAGTCAGGGTTTCTTTGATGGTGCCGTGTCATCCTGTATATTCCCACTGCTTTTGAGTGTCAGTATTTCTAAAGTCAGGGTTTCTTTGACAGTGCTGTATCATCGTGTATATTCCCACTGCTTTTGAGTGTCAGTATTTCTAAAGTCAGGGTTTCTTTGATGGTGCCGTGTCATCCTGTATATTCCCACTGCTTTTGAGTGTCAGTATTTCTAAAGTCAGGGTTTCTTTGATGGTGCCGTGTCATCCTGTATATTCCCACTGCTTTTGAGTTTCAGTATTTCTAAAGCCAGCTAAAATAGACAACAACAGTTCTTTATAAAACTGAAAATTAACTTTGTACAACTTCTGTGAATGAGTGAATGTTGTGATACAGAAGTCAGTTGTATAACACTGTGTCAGTCACATACACAGGCAGACATGCCGTCACGCATACACATACAGCCCTCCCACTCACACAGAGAGGCACACGCACATGAGCATAAACACAGACACATACACTCTTTCTCTCTCTCTCCCTTCTCTCTCTCTCACACACACACCACCACCATGCCACACCACACCACACATAATTACAATAATTCTGAATGCAACATTAAACACTATTTCCCATCATGACATTTGCTGCTTCTTCAAACACGACACGGACCTCAGGGACTATTCTCTCCCAGAGTATCCCCCAGGCTATGCAACTATATCATCACTTGAGTTGGATCACACTGCACAACAAGCATGAAGTATCTGATTAAAAAGATATTCACAGGTCACATCAACCCAGAGAAAGGCCAAACACCAATCCAGAAATAGACCATAAGTAGGTAATTCAGATGGCAGACATTAATGATAACTACACCTGATTTAAGCATTGTCAATATCACAAATATATCCTATGGGAAAAGAGTTGTATATATCAAAGGATGGAAATAAGTCGGATTGCTTGTGATGCCATGATCACATCCTGTTGGACACAATTCATAAACTTCCAAGTCTCCCAGACTATGTTTTTTATGATCACCCAAGGTAAGATATCATTAAACAGCCATCCAGGAGCAGTGTAATGAGCATATCTTTTAGACTGTTCAATACAATCAGTATGTCCTGGGGGATATATATCATGTATCGTCCTACTTCCATCCATGAGAAGACAATACATCTGCATCATGAAGCCATTCCTACTCCAATATATACCATTAAGGAGGATGGCATTCATTACCCTAGAGGTTGGTATTTTCTTTCAAGAACATGTTATATTCCCTCAGAGCAACTGTCAGGAACATGGCAAGACAAAGGCGCCAAGCAATAATGGTTCTGCTACTGTTGCAGACATGTGCAAGTACCATAATGAGGTTATGTGGCTCTTTACCTGTTTCTCATTATTGTCTGTGATGACAAGTTATTATTGGAGAGATAGAGAGGGGGGGAGAGGGAGGAGTGTCAGTCAGTTTAGTTTTACGCTGCACTCAGCAATATTCCAGCTATGGTGGCGATCTGTAAATAATGGAGTCTGGGCCAGACTATCCGGTGATCAACAATTTGAGCATCAATCTA